ACAATGGCAAAATGTGTCTGCTGCTTTTGGCAGGCAGATAATAGTTTTAGAAGCAAATTAAGTGTATATGCCATCTTATTATTAAAACTTTTTTTTTGTTGAAAAAAATTTTTACCGGAATTTTAACAGATTTTTATTTTGTTCGTATAGTAAAAAACAATTTTGAAAAAGTTGATTCCATTGAAAGAAAAGAATAAAGAAAAAAAATCTGTTTATGATTAGAAAAGTAAGTGTAAATTTTTCTTTAAAATTGAAAAATAAAGATCTTGATTTTTTTTCTGGTTGTTGTTGAAATGTATCTTGATTGTTTATTGGTTCAATGCCATACGGTCAGCCATTCAATCGTTGTGATTGAAAGAATTTTTCTTAACAATTATGATGATGATAATAATGATGATAACGATAACGATCATGGTAATTTTCTTACTAACTGTTTTTACTGTTTTTTTTTCTCATTTGAACATCCTCATAATTATTATTTTCAATGTTTGTATATGATAAAATCTAACTGAAACATTATAGAAAAAAACATATAATAGATTAATGGAATGGAGGAATGACCATCATCAATGTTGCTGTTGTTGTTGATGATGATGATGAAAATGATATTTGTAATAATGATTTGCTAACAATAAAAAAATTTCATACTTTTTTTCTGGTTTAGATATTTGATATTCGACTTTGATATAACATTGATGGTTGATGATTCGGGAATCATATCATCATCATCATCATGAAAGAATGAGAATGACAAAACATCATTCGGGTTTTTTCTTGACATTATCATCATCACAATAACAAAAGGCAGTGATTGTTTTTGAAAAAAAGAAAACAAAACAACAATAAACAATAAGAATGACAATGATGACTGTTTCTGTCATTTGTCAAGCAGAAAGAAAAAGAGTGAAAAGGGGATGTAGATAGATAGATAACGAATGAATGAAGATAGGAAAAACCAAAAGAATATCTATCGAAAAAAAAGTCAAACCAAAGATATTCTTACGTTCGTTGAATATGTTGCTGTTTGTTTTCCCTTTAATATAAATTACTCAATGAAAACTGTATTATTTTCTGTTTGTTTCAACTGAACAAATGACCAAAACACACGAGCGAAAAAAACACATTATCAAAAGACATTCTTTTTATTTATTTCATTTTTAACATTCGATTTTCTTGTTCACTTCGGAAATCAGTTTGTTTCATTCTTTTTAACTTTTATCTATCTTTTGAAAAAAGTTTTGCCAGAATAAAAAGTTAGACTTTCTTTTTCGAACTGTCAAAATTCAAAGTTCAGATCGTTGTTGTTGCTGTTAATGATAATGTTATAACATTATATTTTCATTACAATTCTACAATTTCTTTAGATTTGTTCGATTCTTGATGATGACCTTATTTTATTTTCATCATTGTCATTTGAATATCAAACAATAAGTATGCTTTGCAATTAAAACAAAAAAAAACAAGAACAAAATTGGACAAATTAATTAATGATATTCAAAACAGCCAATGAGATTTTTGTTTCTCAAGTAAAGATGTTTCAAGTTTTTTTTCTTACTTGACTACAACGATGGAACGATATCATTTGCTTACAACATGTCCATGATTTATGATTATGGTCATTTATTTCTATGGAAAATTTCAAATTGCTCGATAATTTTATCATTATTTTTTTCACTATTCTTCATCGGATTCTTACGGAAATTGAATGTAAATACAAATTTTCTTTTTCTTTTTTTTCTTGATTATGATGTTAACATTGAACAAAATATGTAGAAGAAAATGCAATCAAATGGAAAATCTTCGTTATTTGGAATTGATTTTTTTCCCAAAAAAAATATTCCAATAAAGAACAAATTGAAATTTCCGGTCACTTAAGTATCTGATTAAGCTATACATTTATTCATTATATTTGTCATCATCAAGGTTTTTTTTCTGCCAAGATTCATGAGATATTTTCAAAAGAATTTTCATTCAATATTTATTTGTTATTCAATGCAATGATTGCATATTTTAAACGGAAATATGCAATTATGCTATTTTATTCTTGTTAAAATAATCATTTCTTCTTTTTTTGTTGAAGAACTTTTGATTTGAACGAAAATTTAAAACACATTCAAAAAAGGATATCTTCTTTCTTTCTGCTTAAAGTGAGAAATAAATTTGAAAATTTGTACCAATGATCATCATCATTATCATCAAAAATATTTTTTGAAAATGAGAATTTGGTTGAAAAAAAATCATTGAAATAAATGAAAAATGAATGGCTATTTTGGCCAAAGTCAATAATTGAAAGGAAATTTATAACAAATTAAATCGAATATTATTCTGTTTCTGGAAAAAATCCTGTTATTTTTTTAAAAATTTATTCATTTCAAAAAAATTGATTTAATTTCAAATTGTAACGATTGCACAAAAGATTTAAAGTTTGTATATTTTTTTTCTCGCTCAGCAAAGCCAATTAAGAAAGGAAAAATCTTTCTTTTTTACTCATATTTAGATGATGTAATTGCGTGATATATGTGCACTGATAGATTCTCCATTTTGTTTTGTTCCAAATTAATTCAATTCATTCAATTTTTTTTTCTTCACTTTCATCTGATTCTCATTAATATTTATTGTTAAAAAATTTTTAAGAAGAATTCGAAATATCGTGACATGAATTTAATGCAAATAGTGTAAATAGGAATATTATCGTTTTTCGAAAATGAAAAAGTGTAGACATTGGAATTTATTTCGGATTTTTCTTGTTTCTAATTTGATTGGAATTAGAAATTCGATATTCAACTATCATTTATCATTCGTATTCATTGATATATATGGTAATGGGCAATAGTTTCATTCACCTTGTTTTTTTTCTTATTTTCATTAGAATGGCAGAATTCGATTCGAATTCTTTCATGAAATCGGATCTAAAGAATGTCGAATAAGAATTCTTATTGTTGATATCTATACAGATTAACAAGGAAAATCATCAATATTGGATAATTGAAAAAATTGGTCATTTTTCATTCATTGTGAGTAAGGTATGAGTCATCTATTTTTTTTCGATTAAATTACGAACAAGTTTTTATAAATTCTAAATGAAAAGAATCAAAACGATCGCGACATCTGTCGTCGAAAAATGTAAATGCATTCTTCGAACTTCAGAGAATTTTTGAAATTTTGATTTTCCATTTTTTGATGTTGCAACATAAAAATCTATTATTATTATTTTTAGCTTTTCGTAATTCTCTTTTTTTAAATAAAATAATTCTGTAATTATTTTTTTTGAAGAAAAAACAAGTTAATCTACACGAAAAAAGTATTCTTTTTTTTCGTTATAACTGTTGTTTCTTGGTTAAGGTGATTTGCAAAAAAAAAAAATAATAATATTTTTGGTTTTTTTATCGCCTACATTTGTGTTGTTTAGCTTGAAAGGAAAAATAATACTAACCTAATTCTTTAAGCTTGTTATTGTTTATCCACACACATGTATTTATGTATCTTGGTATTCAATCAGATCTGGGTGAGGAAAGAGAATTAAATAAATTGAACAATGTATTCTGATTCTTGATAATAATTCACATTGCACAGGCATCGTGTGGTGTTTCACATGATTGGCCAACAGCCACTATAATGTGATTAAAAATCAATTTTATTTTTTGTGTATTTTACTTGTAGAAACAATACATCAATCAATTAAATGAACAACATTTCCAATTATCATTATCAACATTGATTAGATCATTTTTTCTTTGATTATGAGAAATTTTCAACAAATTCGTTCTGAATAAAGTCTGGATCTGGATTCTATCACAAATTCGGTGTATGTGTGTTTTTGTGCCTATCAAATTAGATTCTCATCAATTAATTAATTAGTAATTGTAGTTTTCTCATGATATAATGATGGGAAAAATGAAAAATATCCGCACATGTTGCATGTTCTAAACAAACAAAAGTATTTTAGGAGTAAAAAGTGAATAAACACCGTCAATCATTTACATCTGGTTTATAAATGTTTCATGAAAATAAATAAATTTTAAAATTAAATTTTTTTGGCATTACTTTTTTTCTGTTGAAGAATTATTATTAACCTAACATTATGAATAAGTGTCTTCACCAGTTTTCTAGTCACAAAATTTCCAATTAATTTGCCTTGAAAAAAATTCAGCCTTTTCAATAATTGACAACCAAAGAAATATATAAAGATAAAGAATTAAATGATTAATATTGAGAGCGAACAAAAAACAATGACAATGAACATGTGAATAATACGACATTAACAAATGAATGAATGAGAAAAAAGAGAAAATAATTAAACAATTAGTTAATTAGTTAATTAATATGCTTATGCAGTTGTAATTAACAATTTAATTAGCAAATTAGTACACATACACACAATTAATACTCATTGGAAAAATGTTTTGGAAATATATAGGACACACTGATGATGATCCAACATATTGGTAAAGTAAAGTATTTTTTTTCAAAAATTATATTGATTATAATTTCTCTCCATTATTGTTGCCGATTTTCTGTTTTACAATCATTTTGAGAAAAAAAATGCGCGAAATTTAAATTCCAATTGAGTAGTGGTTGAAAAATATGATATCTATTCTCTCTTTATTTTTTCATTTTCATTGAAAACAATTTCCTCTTTTTTGTTTTTGGTGTATGTGTATGTTTTGTTTGTGCGTTACAGATTCTCTTACGCACATCCTTATTATTATTTTTTTTTCTCTGTCTCATTCTTCTAATACAAATTAGATTCTCATCATCATTGTATACTACTACTTCGAGAATTTCAATTCGTATATTCGATTCAATGACTAGACGCACATAAAATAAACGATATTCAATTTAAATGTGTACCACCATAATTATTATCAACATCATTTTACCGCGATTACAAATTTTTGTTTTCACAACCTCTTTCTTTCTCTCTATCATCGTAATCATCATCATCATCATCATCGTAATCACATTCGTCGTTTATCAATGATAGTGTCAAGACAACAACAGTTCATTGAAACTAAATGAAAAATAATCTAGCAATTTAATCAAGATTTTTTGGTTGTTGAACAAATCGTCAACGTTACCTGTATTTGTTTGTGTGTGTGTGTGTGTGTAAATTTGTAATTTTGAAAAATCAATCATTTTTTTCTTGTTATTTATCATGTGATTAGAAGCTTATTAGTATCGATCCGTCGGTCAGGATATAAATAAACAATGAATCCTACTGTAATTCCAAATGATATTAGTAATGATGATGATGATATTAATAATACAACAACAATTGCAGCTGAAAATTCTACCAAATTTATAAAAATGACAAATAATAATGAATTTGATTATGATTCAAATAATGAAAAAATAGCATTTAATTCCTCATCAATAAGAAATTCACCGACAACAAAATCAGATCTTCAATTATCAAATTCGATAACAAATGATTTAATAAAGACTTTAAATGAAAATCATAATAATGATAAAAATAATATGAATAAATCCACAATGAAGACAACGACCAGACAGAATTCCAATTCATTTATGATTGATGTGTTAGTAGGCGGTGATACAAAATCATTTTCGTCGGCAACAAAATTGTCGGATAAATCACAATTATATAATGAATGTTCAATAAAAGATGATCAATCATCTTTATCATCACCACAATCATCATCACCGACAATGACAACAACGCCAACAACATCACAATCATCAATGATTAGTGATCTATTATGGTCACAACAATGGCATGAATTGAAACGTATTCAACAATTGTATTATGAAAAACTTTATTCCGATTCATCATGTTCAATTATTAATCGACAACAATCACAGGAAAATCATCTATCACAATCATGTTCTTCAACATCCTCATCATCATCGTCAACATCATCATCAACATCATCATCATTGATTTCTAATCGATTTGGATCATTAAATGATAATAATGATAAACAATGGCAAGATCAATTACTTGCATATTATGCAAATCTATTTTTTCAACAACAAACTAATTCATCAATTTCTTCATATGCTGAATTTATGTATCGTTTAAATTCATTAAAAAATTCAAATTCAATTACTTCACCATCAGTAATAATGAATGAAATGAAAAAAAGCAAAATAGCCACCGATAATGATGATGAAAATGTTAAAATCGATGATGATGATGATCATCATGATGATCACAATGTTTATGAACTAAATGAATTTAGTGATAACAATAATGGTGATTGTAAATATTTGAAAACAATCGATTCCTGTAATAATAATGAGATGTTGAATGAAAAAAGAAAAAATTCTTCTAGTCATCGATTATATGAATTATGCTCAAATTTATCACAATCACCTAAATCGTTATCATTGTCACCACAACAACATTCATCATTAACAGCAGCATCAAACGGTCAGATAGTTTCATCTAATAAAATGTCCATTAATGATTTGATGAATGAAAATCGTAAATATTCAAATGAAAAAATAGTATTAGACATTCCGAATTCATTGAATGATCTTAATTATTATTCATCATCAGCATCACAATCACGATCATCATTACCATACTGTGGTAAGTGTAATGTGTTTATGGTGTGTCAGTATGTGTATAAACGCCTTGTTTCCACATATGATTGAATTTTTTGTGCCCAAATAAAAACCATAATTGCTAAAACCAATTGTTAACCAATTATTGCGGCAAGGTTAAATAATAATGATTTATTCAATTAATTTTGTTTAATTAATTGATCTAATCGATTAGACAAAATTAGATAAAATAACGATTTGGTTGATTGATTTTTTCAAAAAAAAAGTTTTCTATAATAATCAACCTTGATCTTAATAATAATAATAATATTACACTAGGTTTTTGACATCGGAAACAGTGTGAAAAATTGGTTGTCATGTTTTAAATGATCTAAAATTTCTATTTTTTCAAAACAAATTAATCAATTATTGCCAAAATACTTGAAACATTTCAACAACAACAAAAAATATATATTTCTCGTTCACCGATCACAATTGCACCATTATTTTTTTTTGAAATGAATCATTAAGTAACTGTTGTCACAGAGAAAATCAGAAAGAGAGAGAAATAGAGATATTGGTACTTATTTGATATCTATTTAGGGAATAAAATAAATTATGAAATATTATCGATATGGGGAGAAAAAAATATTATCATTGTTTGTTTGTTTGTTTATTTATTTTGTCAACATTTAAACAACTAATTAGTATCGAAATTCAGAGATATTAATTACACGCGCGTACTTACACACACACACACACCTATTTTGAACCTTTATATTTCACTTGAATTATTATTATCAGTATTGATATTGATTAATATTTAATATCATAAAACATATGTATCGATAACAAATATTGACTTTTCCTTCATCATTATTTTATTATTATCATTATATCAACATTGAACAATATTGATATTTCATTAAAAATAACCGACATGTGTGTCTGTGTTTTATTGATATTTGCTATATATCTTTTTTTGATATGGATACACATATAACTAGGAGAGAGAGAGTAATTACATAATAATCATCAACAAAATCAGCTTTTTTATTTTATCGTCATCAATTGATGATGATAATCGATAGAAAATATATCTAAACTAAATATTCGTTATTTTTTCTTCTCACTCTCTTCTCTATTCAATTTAGTTTCGTTGCTAATAATAACTAATATTGTTGTTGTTGTTTGGACATTTAATTTTTTTTTCTTCTCAATGTTTGTTCTGATATCAAATAATTTATTAATTCATTTTTTTCTATTATTATTATTATTATGGATTATAAAATGATTTTTTTCCTGGATATTTTGGTTACATGTTTAAAAATAAATTTGTAATCATATGATTGATTTCAAACAATTATTGTGTTTGTGAACAAAATCTATATTGTTAATCAATGATTTACTGAAAGAAAATATAAATAAATCTATTGCAACTGGATTACGACATTCAATAGGCTTGTTAAGATCGGTAATGGGAAAAAAAGAGAGAAAAAAATTAAAAACCAATCAACAGAATTAATGTTATATCTGATTAATAAATGGGGTTTTTTCATTTATGAAAACAAGGAACTCTAAATTCATAAATGCTTAGAGTCAAAGTAATTCTATCCATTTTAGTTAATCCAGATTTTGTCAGTAAAAAACATTGCAAACACACATACAATGGTATGATTTTTTGATTCACATTTGATTGTTTTCGATTGCTTCAATTTCAAGTTTCAGGGATTCTTATTCATATCAAATGTACACACCAACACACACATACATTTTGAGACTATTAAGCAATCAATTTTTAGTAAATTTCAATTAGCCATTCCATCTATCTTTTTTTTCTGTCTCTTGAATTCGCCTGCTTTCCTAATTATACAGGAAAATTCGTTCTCCGGCTTTTGAATCACCAAAAATACACTCCCCGTACACATACACAAATATAGTCAAACAGAAAAAATACGATTTTAATTGAAAATAGTCACCAAACAGATATATAAAGTCGGTAGGAACAAAAAAAAAAGAGAAAACGAAACAGTGAACGAAAAATAAATAAAATTCGACAAAATTAATTTAGCTAAATAATTAATGATGAATTAATTTTAATTGCCACCGCTTCTGTTGCTGTTGTTGTTTCTGTTTTTGTTGTTGTTGTTGTTGTTGATGACTGCCATCATCATTATCCATTATTTATCGCCCATCGAAATAAATGAATTCATGTATGCAATAATGATGACAATTTCAAATTTTTTTTTCTTTTTCTTCTCATCATCTGCTTTTTTATTTCGTATTACGGGGCGTCGTCCACTAATTTGATCATCATCATAATCATCATCAACAATGATTACGTATGATGACGATGATGATAATGATGAAAAAAAAATAAAATCAGAATAAATGCTCTGTTGTTATGTATATATGATCATAATGATGAGACATTCATAGCACGTTCGTCCTCCCATTTCCTCAAAAAAAAAATAAAATTTAATGAGTGAATAAATAAATAAATGTGAAAAGAAATTTAGTAATAATAACAGAAAAAAGTTTCATGCTAACTAGATAGATAGATATGATCATATCACTAATGACAACGACCATTCCATTTAATTGTTCAATGAAGCTATTATATAATGATTCTTAAATAAATGTATACATGAATGAATGAATGAATGGTCATCATGTATAATCAACATCATTAATAGTGGTAGAAAAAAAAATTAGAAATCTATTAAAATCTATTTCATTCAATTCGATTAATTGCCATTTTTATTTTAATGATGAATAATTATTTCGATGATGATGGCGATTCATACAATTCTATTCAAGCGGACATTACTGCATGCCTATGATGTTTTCGTTAATATTTTATTATTATTAATGATTTTTATTTCAACAAACTAATAGCTTTTCAATCGAAATTTTGTTTTTTGTTTATAATTTATAATTGAATGATTTCATTTGTAAAACATAACGATCATTTTATTTCTATTAAATGAATCATATAATCATTTAATGTTGTTTCATTTTCGATTATAATAATCGATGATGATTGTAGAAAGATGAAATTAAAAAATATATAAATAAAATGAAATTCTCATTTTTATTACCAAAAACGATTTTTCGGCTCCTTTTTTGTTGTTGTTGATGACGTTATTTAGCATCATTTATCACTAATGAATTAGCAATTCATGATTATATCCATCAACATTATTATCATTATCATCATCAGCAACTAATGATTGTTATCATCAGAATAAATTGGAAAATGTTTTGGTTTCTGGTGCATTTTTTTCATATTTAATATTTTTCCATCTCATCACTAACTGTTATTAGATGACAATAATATAGTTGATTGATAATGAATCTCCTGTATCGGAGGAAAAATTTTCCACTTTTTTTTGGCTTCGTATATCATGATGTTTATCATTTTGGATAATATAATCCCAGTAGCAATAAGAAAAAAGTTTTGACCATCGCTGAAAAAGCAACAACAAGAAAAGGACTCAATCTAAATTATTGAATCTCACATATTAGTTACTTTGAGCCTTCAGGCTAATCATTCATTAATTTTTTTTATCACTAATTGAGTTTGATCTCGTTCATCTTTTTTAAACGTGTATTCAAATAATGTTGCTGTCCATTTTTTTCGCTTTTAATCAAAATAAACTTACATTTATGATTGGTTTTACTCATCAAAAGCTTTAAAAGTGTTGCTTGTATTCATTTTTTATTTTGCTGACCAAACAAAAAATGCTGTTGATTATTATAATTGGCTTTCTCCATCTATTTCAATCATTCCATTAGTTTGATGATAAACAGTGGGAAACAGCTTCGTATTTTCTTAATGATCAAATCAAATAGCATGGCCGATTTATATATTTAGTCACCATTAACACATAAATTTTTTTTTCGTATCGATTAGCAAGTAAAGAGAGTAATATCCATTATAATTATCCGGTATTGATTCAATGTTGTTGAAATTGTTTTTTTTTCTCCTAATTATAATTAATTTACATCTGACATGGAATGCATGTTACATGATATGAATATGGAAAAGAAAATCATTTTTTCTTTCTTTCTCTCTTCTCTTCTCTAAAATCAATTGCCTCATATCGAATAACTACATTTTTTCTCTCTCTTCCAATAATTTTTCATATTAAATGATAATTATTTCCATATGATTTTGCCAAATATTTATAATTATAATCATAATTAATTTATATACATACCTGGTGAGTTTTACTGTTAATTAAAACTAATCGAATTGAACGAAAGAAATAGCACAAAAACAAAAATATTAAATTAAAATAATTCGGCCATCGAATACAAAATAAAAAACATTAGAAAAAAATGTATATAATTAAATTAATTTAATTAAATTTTCATATCAAAATGATGAAATATCTATATCATTCATCAAACTTGAAACTCATTAAAAATATTTTGGATCATCAAAGCTGTCATTGCTGGATTCATATATGTATTTCTTTATCATCATCATCAAATTGTATACAAAAAAAAAGATAATTAATCCAAGATAAACAGAAAAGATAATCCAGACTTTTTTCTCCCTTTTCTTTATCATTATCAATTCAAATTGAAATTCTTTATCCTACATATCAACAATTTTTTTTTTAATAATCATTAATTGAATTGTACATATCATTTTTCTTTTTAATCATAATCTCCATAATTATAATAATGGTAATTATCGTCGTATAGATTGAATTATTCATTTTTTTGTCGATTAATCCACCATCATGGACTACATTATACTTACCATATCACTAATGAATTTTCTGATTATCCGATTCAAAAAAAAGTGAGAGACCAAAAATCTAATTATAGAAACACAATCATTGTCATTAATGTTCAAAAATTATTAGATTTTATTTCTTTGATTTATTTTGTTGTTGTTGTTGTTGTTCAATGTCATCATTGTTTAATGGATATTTTATGAAAAAAGATATGTCATTACTGGATTATAATATTTTGAAAAAAAACAGTCTGTCTATATGTCGCAATATATTCAACAACAATTGTTATTATAGCTTTTGGATATCTTTATTTCCCATTCGAATTTAGGTGATCATAATTTGTTTTAAAATGATGATAATAATTACACAATTGAATATTATGATATGAGCTATTCGATATTTGGTTTCAATAAAAAAAAATTAATGAAAATTTTTCAACAATATTGATGGAACCAAACATCGATGATTACTTCATGATGACGACAATTTCAATTAATTTGAAAGCTGTAAAAAAAATTTCATTTTAATTATAAAAATAAGAATTCACACATTCTATTTGTTCATTGTTTTCAACAACGTTTTTTTTCCTTTTGCTCATACAAATCCATTAATTTTTTTCTATACATACCATTAAACAAGGTTGTTAATTTCATGACAATCATCATCATCATCAATGATAATCATTTGGCATCAATGAGTTATATTGACGATTGATTTGATCGTTTTCGATTTAGATTCTAATTATCATTCAATTAATGTTTTTTTGTTGTTGTTGTTTTTATTTGCCCGTCTATCCTATGTTTTATTATTATCATTATTTTTTCCAATTTCGAAAATGTTTATCGATCGATGAAAAAGTTTATATAGCAAAAATATAATTGTTTATCATTCGTGCATCATCAATTTCGAATTTTAATTGTCATTAATTTTTGTTTTGAAGAATTTTTTTTATGAGTATTTAATCTTTAAGATTGATTGAAATTAAAAAAAGAGATAATGATTTATTTGGTGCTAATGATTCTACAGTATTTGGATTGACATACATTGAAAAATGGAATTCATCTGGATTATAATTTCATTCATAATGATGACAAAATGATGGTAATAATAAAAATAAAAGAAAAATGGCAATCATTCGATCATTAATGAATGATGATTATTATAATCATCATCATCATAAATAAGGAAAGAAAAGAATTTCGAAAATTTATCATTGTAATAATTTTTTTTTGTTCATCCAAATTAACCCCTCTATTTGATTGGCAAATGAGCAAAAAAAACTGATTCAAATTGAATCTCGATGATGATTAAGATGATGATGATGATGATTTGGGCGTTAATGACGCTGATGATTATTATTATTATTTCACAAATTGATATTACCATTCTCTCTCTCTTTTTCTGTCCAACCATGTCTATCAATCAACAATCTCAATCATTATCATTCTATTCGGTAAATAATCAATGTCTGTGTATATGCGTGTGAAATGGATGAAATTGATTTGAATCTATTCGGGTTTTTTTTTCTCATATATGACAATCAAAATAATGATTTTAATGATAACTATTATCATTATGATTGCACTGTAATTGTGAAGAAATTTGTTTATGTCTCTCAATTCTCATCATCATCAACAATAATAATGATAATAAAAATAATAACAAAAAAAACAAGGACAACATTATTGAATCAACATTCATATAGACATACAAACACATATATATCAAACTAAAATGGTTTTGTGATTGTAATTGTCTATTAATCGATAGAATGAATGTTAAATGAATAAATTGAATCGAAACAGATAGAGAGAAAAAGAAAGAGATGGAAAAGAAATTGTTGTTATCACCATTTGCAATTAAAAATTAATTGCAACATCAGATCTTTGATGATGATGATGATGATGATGATGATGAGGATTCTGTTTAGCTATTAATTGGAAATCCTGAAATTAGATGGAAAAAAAAGTTTTCATCACCAACATCATTCATTCATTCTCTATATATAAAAACAACATTTAGATTGTAATGTAATGACGCCACTAATAAAAATTTTAGGAAAAAGAAAAAATAATATTCCGCTTCGATGCTCTTTTCTCTTTTTACCAATCCCCTAAACGTTTTTTCACTTTGAATGAAATCGGAATTTGTTGATTTTTCCTACACTTAACATATATCAATGGATAATAGACCAATATGGCGAAAAAAAAGGTGAAATCAATTGCAAAATCATTCTACTTAACGATCCATCATCATCAACAACAGCATCATTATTATGTAATACAACAATGTTTTTTTTTGTTGTTGTTGCCAATACCGGATTTTATTTTCATCATTCAAATGTAATTGTGATCAAGATTGTCCAGCTGGAAGAATAATTCATTCAAAATCAAATTGAAAAGAAATTAGTGTTAACGATCCTGGAATTGGTTAGAGAAACAATTTGTATTTGAAGCTGATGTTAATGATCGAATGACAAATCAATATCAATTTTATTATCCTTAATGATGATATAAAATAAATGTTATTGAAATAGCAAATTTTTTTTAGCAAACGATTGTATTCGATCGGCAATATCCGCAATTACATAAAATTCATGCTATACAGGATTCAAACAATTGAATTAGCAGCTTTTTTCACCAAAGATAAAAGTACTAAAGGAATATCCAAATTTTCCATAAAATGAACTCGATTTCAATTGAATCCATGTTGATGAAGATGATGATGAATGTGATGAACATGATGAAAAGAATCAAGCTAGCTAATTATTCGCACCATTGACCATCAATGTTTCTGATATATACTATGATAGGAGAATAATGAAAATACATCAAAATGAATAGTTGTTGTGAATTGAAATGTAAAATAATAATAGCATCCTCTTTGCACTTACACGGAGACACATGCACACTTCATATCATACACCCGAATTGGACCTTATCCATTCATTCATTCAACTAATAAATGCAATTAACTATAGAATAATGCTATCCATTCATTAGGAATCCGAAAAAGAAAAAAAAAACAAATTATTCAGTATTGCACAAAAACACATAAACACTGATGATGATGATGACGTTTCACTAAATAATTATCACAACGGCATCTTGGTTATATAATTATTATCTATTTTTTTGTCTGAAATTGATGATGCCGATGATGTTGTGTAAACTAATGAGCAAAAAAAAAAATTTTAATCATCACAATAATAATTATGAACAACGAATTTATTTTTGTTCTTGTCATTCGTTTATTTGTTTTTTTTATTATTCTGCTCATTAATATTCTTTTCTATTTTTTATAATTTTCACAGATAAATATGATCCTTTATCTATAAAGTCAAAACATCAATCATCTCATCATTATCAATTAATTCATGATAATAATCCGTTGACCAAAATGAATGAACGATCACCATCACCACATTCGATTAATAAAGCATCTTTTAATGATTCAAATCATTCATCATCATCTTCTGCATCATCATCATCATCATCAGCAGCAACAACAACAACAACATCACCATCGGCTGCAGCAGCGGCTGCTGCAGCATATCATTTTTCCAATATGTTTCGTAAACCAAAACGTATACGTACGGCATTTTCACCCGGACAACTATTACGTTTGGAAGAAATATTTGAAAAAAATCGTTATGTTGTCGGATGTGAACGTAAACAATTGGCACGTGATCTCAATCTATCTGAAACACAAATAAAAGTTTGGTTCCAGAATCGTCGTACAAAACATAAACGTGAAAAACATATTATCAATAATAGTGGTGTAAATGTAAATCATGGCCATGGCAATCATCATAATCATCATCATCATCAACTTAATCAAACACAAAATCTATTTGCATCATCTTCATCACTTCGATCACATCATCAACATCCAATTCATTCACATTTGGTTAATGATGAATTATTGGCAGCAAAAAAACTATTCATCCGATCAAATCCAACAACAACATCATTTCGATCATCATCCTCATCCTCATCATCTTCAACAACATCAACAATCAAATCGAATAACAGTGGTAAAAGTATCGGAAATGTTTTTAATAATTTCAAAAATTCGACCACTACATCATCATCTACTGAACAACGAAATACATTAATGGCTAAATGAGGAAATTTTCTTTTTTTTTTTGTTCGTTGTTCAAATACAAAATTCATCACTCAATCAATCTTATTCACTTTGTATATGTCTTTGTATGGAATTTTTTTTCCATTGATTATTATCTTTCAAAAAAAATCTATCCTTTTTCCAGATTTTATCATTATTATAATTAATATAACCGAAAATGTATCGACGAGAAAAAAAAATCGAAATAAAAATATAATTTATTTTATTCCATTTTTGATTCTGTTTTTTAATGCCCGAATTGTCTGTATATTTTTTATTGCTCACATCTCATTGATTCAAATGATAATGATCATTGACAATCGATTGAATGACGATGAATAAAATCAATAAAATAATGATTCATTAAATTATATTTAATGAGCTGATTAATTTCTAACAATCTAATGAATAGTTAGCGTTCAAAATCAAAAAACAAACTTGTCATCCAAATTTAGCGTGCGTTTCTATGCAGCAGTTCCGCAACAAATTCACAAATGTCCTTGATAATTTCTAAGTAATTGATTTTCTTTTCTTTTTTTTTGTTTGTTAATTGATTGTCTGTCATTATTCATATAAGTTAATTGAAAAAAATTCCAAAATAAATTTTTTTTAAACTCACCAAACCTGGATTGTTTTTGATAAAAATCACCACAACATGATAATTATCTCATTTTGGATTTTATTAATTCCAAATAAATAAATTTCACTTCTGGCTGTATTTATCCAAATTCAAACTCCAAAAATCCACTTATTAATCTTTCACCGATAATCAATTTTTTCTTTATGAATGAAGAGAAAAAAACAAGAAAATTTCCATTCCATTTACAAATTTATCATCAATTTATAGTTTCGTTTCAATTCAATAAAAATAATTATGATATGGTGACAATTAGGAACAATATACAACGAAACGTCATTGAAAAACTTCCCGTAATATTTCTTTATTTGTAGTGATTAAAATTAAATGGAACGCAACGGCAGAAACTAGAAATTGAAAAAAAGAAACCAAATAAAGATGGTAAAGATCTTGATGGGATCTTTTTTAAATAAAATATAAAGATAATCATGTAGGATAAAAATAAATCTCAATCAAACTGAATTTTATTAAAATGATAACAAATTTTTCAAAAAAATATAGTAAAAAGAATGCTTTGAACTTGGCCAAGCCGACCGAATAGCAAACCGGTTAGAATCGAATAAGATTCAAAGAATTCCGTGCTGATAAAAAATTTGATAGATGACTGTTTCTTTTTCTATTATTTTTTTTCTTTTCTTTTTTATCAATTCACTTGAATTTAATCTTTGAAAAGTGAATGAATTACCCGTTAATGTTGTTGATAATTCATTTGAATCCATTCATGGTAATCATTTTCAATTTAATTTATCTTTTTAATCAAATATTTGTTTTTAATTAGCAGAATAAATTTGATGGAAAAACATTTTTTTTAACTAACAGGATGACATTATGTTTTTTTTGTTGTTGATTGAATTCAATTCCAAATTTAGAGCTATATAGAGCCAATATTTTATAAATTATTTCATAAAATTAAATTTCTACATATAAATTCATTGTCAATCGAATAGTTATGGCGAAAAAGGATTGCTTTCATAATTTGAAATTACTGAATTCTTACAATTACTTATCGTGAACATTCCTTAATGAATATGAATGAAATAATGATTATTATTTCAACAAGTCTTTCGAAACTTTATTTTCTTTTTGTTCATCATAATAATTAGTGTTTGATGTATACTGGAGTTTACTTGCTTGTTGACGTTTGTTGTTGATTCATTCATTCATTCATTCATCATTCATTCAATTTTGTTAATGATGTTAACATTCAGTCAACTGTGAAATCACAAATATGACAGACATACGGTTAGATAAGCCAATAATGATCTTGACAATTTTCCAAATTATTTATTGTAATTAGGAGAAAAAAAAAGTTTTTTTTGTACCACACAATTAATCCAAAAATAAAAGAGTTATAATGTTTATAATGATGGCCATCACCGTTTATGACAGCAATAATTGACATGAAAAACACGAGCATTAAAAAACTTAAAAAATCAACAATCTTTTTGTTCATCTTACGAGGAAATAAATAAAGTCGTTGCAAATATACTTAGTTAAACATATAAATAAAGCCAAGTAAAAATTATTAATTAAAAGCCCGAAAAAAAACAAATCTATCATTTCAATTTCTAATGCATTAATTTTACCTTTTATTTTATGCGTTTTTTAGATGTCGATCTTCACCTAAGTAATTTTTCTCTTTGTTACTGTTGTTTTTTTTCTTAAAAAATTTATTCGGCTTTTTTTCTGATCATTGATTTTTTGATCACTGCTCTACTCTCTAAACATATGGCCTACTAATGTTAATTGCAATTATCCAAACAGACAGAAACATTGGAGATAACAATCATAACACAATCTAAAAGGTACTAAAAGGTCCTAGCCATTAAAAAAAGCGACTCGATAATTTGCTGTTATGATTGATATAATTTTTTTTTCGTTATTGGAAATAAAATGAATAATTTTAAAATGTATCCATTTCATTTCAATTAACTTATTATTAATCAAATGGATGGTGAATTTTTTTTTTCAAAATCATCATTATCTTAATGATGAATGAACAACTACAAAAAAAACTTGCCGCCATCTGATAATAATATCAATGTTTTATTTTACTATGTGTGCATTTACGAATTAATTTACTGATTTTTTTTTTGAAAATTGTTTTCGAAACTCAATTCAATTCGTCAATCATCGAGTATTCGAGTATTTCATCAAAAAAAAAAGAATTTCATTGTCTAGAATGTCATCTCATTAATAGTTAATGTATTTATGGATCATCAATATGGCCGGGAGAACTTTTCAAATAATAATTAATGACAAAATTAATTAATTATTGCACACCATACATAACAATCGGAATATGAAAAAAGAAATATTCTTTTTTTATTGTGTAAGCATAATTGAAATTGGCTGAAATTTTTCTTGTCTATTTATTTTTTACTCACATTAAATAATAATTAATTGATTGAATTTTGGCTTGTTTGTTAAGGTTAGAATTTCGCAATAACAATTTAATTACACGTTGCAAAAACAAAAAACAAAATGTCTCCACAATGTTGTCCCATGATTCATCACTAATTCTGACTCTTCATTTTTTAGTGATTGAAAATTTAAGCCGCCTTCATAATCACCAGAGTCTGTTTTTTAAGCTGCTAAATTCAATCTTTGAAGTGAAATAAAGGTAGATACCGACAAGAAAAAATAAAATTTATGGAATCTTTTTGCACGAAAACGAACAATGAAAAAGATCATCTTTTATCGAATGGTTGTGCAAATCTTTTTAAGAAAAAAATAAGATTTTTTTTCTTGTAATCATCATTCGTAATGTTAAATACGATACAATACAATGCAATCAATTATTGGCCGCTATCAAATTGAATAAAAATCACAATTAATTTTTATTTTCTCAAATGTGTAAATCATACGAAAAAACATAAACAGAAAAAAATCAATCCGATTCAAAATTCAATTCAATATCACAATTGACTGACGAAATTTCAATATTATATTGGATATTGAATATGACAGTCATATCATTTATGGCCATTCACACATTATTAATGATAAATCTTTAAATTGAAATTTAACATCAATTATGATGGTAATCATCATCAATATTATCACGAACATGTAATCATTCAAAGAAAATAACATGAAAAATTCAATCCGTTAGCATTGTAAAATAGAAAAAAAAATCAATTTCATTTTAATTGAAATCAAATTAAATTTTTTTATTTCCATCAATGAAGAGAAAAAAACTTATTGATAAATAGCGAGAAAATTGATTTATTCAATGATCATTATTTGATTTGTGTATACAACAACAACAACAACAACAATTGCCATTACAATTGAATAATCATTTTGTTGTTGTTATTGTTGTTGAGGCCAAATGAAGAAAAAATAAAATTGAACAGACAAAACAAAACAATCAAATCAAACCTTCAGGCCATTATAACAGATTGTTGACGAATCAATTTCTTTTAATTTACTTAATTCTTGCAATTATTTTTATCATCAATATATCGATGATTTTATTGATGGACAAATAGTAATCATTTAAAATTTTTCTTTCTTTTTTTTTATTTCTTATTATTTCAACAAAACGATTGTTTGCTTTTCTATCATTGCAATTTAAATAAACGATGATAATGATGATGATGATAATGAGGCTAATTGTGAATTTTTTTTTATCCATTCAACATTTATGAATGTAAATTTGATATTTATTTTCTAAATATTAAATGAGATAACAAGATAGTGTGAATCAAATATTGTATTTGTTTCTTGCTGAAAAATAAATTGAAATTTTCATTTCAAACTATGGTGTCTAGTGTTTACCTGTCAAGATTATCATGATAAATTATTTAGAAATTAAAGGTAATTAAAAAAAATAACAAAAACAAAGTTGCTTAACTAAATTAAACAAAATTTCTGGTTAAACAAATAAAACCAATGAATGAAAATCAAATATTGGATAAATCAACATCCGTTCCACATTTTGTTATCTAATTAATTAATCCATTTATTAATTGAATTTCTTAAATTACTTTTATTATCTAATCAATACGGGAAAAATCTTCATATTCATTATTAAATAAGGTTTTTTTTTCTCATTTCCTTAATTCATATTCAAATTTAATTGAAAGCGATTTCGTTTTTTTTTGTTCTCACTCATAAGCATAAATGCAAAATCAAAATGATAAAAACGAAGCAATAAATTTATCATTCATCTTTTTTAAATTAAAATTGTCGCAATTTTATCAATAAACAAGTTTATTTGAATAAAATTTAAATCAAAAAGAATGTAATTCAAATCATCATATTGATTGATTGAATTGACAAAAGTTGTTCAATATCTAAAATCGATTAAAATCAGAAAAAAATGTCAAATGTTGTTTGGCATTGTTTAGACCGAACAAACAATTTAAATAATTTCATTATAAAATAATCATATAATGGATCAGATATTCATCTTTTCTTATTCATTATATAATGCATAAATTGATAACATCAACAACAACAATAATAATAATGATAACAATTTGCCTAAAATAATGAAAATAATTATTATTATTATCAATTTAAATGAATGAAATCAATTTCTTTTTGTTAACAAAATATTATCATTTGCGGCGACAATTGTTAGTTTTTTTTCTATGTAATCAGAAGAAAATTATTCAAATTATCATGATGACGACATTGATGGCCTCATCAAATGTATTTAGAATGTCGGTCAAAACAACAACAACAATGATGATGATGATAATGATCAAAAAAATGGAGAAAAATGGTCAATCAAATTTGTTGATTGTCGAGCATTGTCATCAACCAACAAATACAGTTAGGAAAGAATTATATATTTTTTTCAATATTTCCGACTCGAAAAAAATGTACATTTGTACGTTTGTTGAAATGAAAAACAAAAATTATCTTGTTTATTCCAAATAGTTCAGATATGATGACGATGGTGATAGAAAAATAAAATAAAATCATTTTTAATGATAATAAAATGGCCATAAAATGATAATAGATTTCATCGGAATCTTTGTACAGTGCCATCTATGATCACTGTAATTAACAAACAAAAAAAATTCAAAATGACGTTATTCGCCACTGAAACGATAGATGGCATAAAATGATGGATAAATTCCAAGTTTTGGCTTTTTTTTGAAATCAGAATCATGAGATAGTGAATCATATTTTAGGCAAATTCCACTATTGTTCTGCCGTAATTATCATTCGACTTTTTACCACATTCTTCAGGTAGTACACATTGTAATGTGTTAGCGTGACGACGATAACCATCCTTACAGAAACATCCACGATTACAAACAGTTGGACATGTTTCACGTTTATTTTCATCAGAACAATGTATTGCACATTCCGAACCACATTGCGAATAGATTTCATTTTGTTCACATTTGATTGGTTCTTTTTTCATTTAAAAAAATTCATTAATAAACAATTCAATTCTTGATTTGGACAAACCTGTTGCTATTGGCCGACATTCTTTAGTATTTGGATCACGTTTAAATCCTGTATTACAAACGCAACTTGGAATCCTTTTTTCAAACAGACATTTTGGCCTTGGATTTTCTCTCGTACGGATACATGGTTCACCATTCACATCCCAATATTCATTTGGACCACATTTATTGGCTATTATAATATTTAAAAAAAAGAGATGCACAAACAAAAATCATTCATAATATTAATGATGGAAAATTAGAATGCAGAAATCAATATCAAAGAGATATTAACCAAGATAAAATACAACATTGATAAATTATGATAATTGAAAGTGATGAAACACTTTTACGAAAAAAATACAAATATTCATACATCAGCTAAAAATAAATAAATAAATAGCTCATTAATACATACGACATTCAGCGAACGGTATACAGGTTCCATTTTTCGACATATCACGAACGTAACCATAATTACAGAAACAGCCGCGTTTACAATTATTTCGATTACAGTATGGAAATGGATTTCGATATGTTTCACAAGTTACTTCACATTCTGAACCACATCTTTTATAATTTTCATTATTTTCACATTCTTTTCGATATGAATTGAAAATAAATAAATAAAAATTTCATCAAAAATTAAAATTTAAACAACCATTTTACTTACTTGGACATTCTTCAGGGAGAATACATTTCAAATCATAATCTTTTACATAACCCGGTTTACAATCACAACTTTTCCAGCAAAAAGATTTACATGGTTTTCGATCCAAAAATTCACATGTTTTGGGACAAGCATTTGAACAATTAGTCAATACTTCAGTTTTTGGATCACAGATTGGATCTGCTTTTGTTTTAAATAAATAATTTAGAAAAAGAAATCCATTCAGTTATAAATGAATTTGAAAACGGGATTGTTTTGTAAAATTACCATCAAAGTCGAATGTCGCAAAAGTAGTTTTAACTTTCAATTTTGTTGTTCCAGATTCTTGATCGGCAGTTGATGAAATGAATTCATTAGTTGTTGTTTCAACAGACGGTATAGATGTTGTTACTTGTTCGTTATCATCAACATTATTGCTAATATTGATACCATTATTCACTTCTATTTCGGATTGTTGATCGGTTATATTAATCATTGGATTAGCATTGATATTTATGGTTGTTGTGATGAAGCAAACAAATATGATCATAAATATTTTCAAATATAAGCGTGAATGCCACGTGTTCGAACGTATACAAACATCATTATTTGATAATGCAAATATTTTCCATATGCTGAATGTTAACATGATCTTGGAACAATGAGATTTTTTTTTCTTTTTTTCCCACTTATTGTTGATTGACTAATTTTGATTGCCAAATATGCATACACAAAAAATTGAAAATTATAAAATGTCACTGTAATTGTGCCAACGTAGCCGATAGTTTCAATGATATTGATAATACGCGTGTTCAATTTATTATATTGAACAAAATTTCATTCCTTCCTGCATTTTTCTAAAAAAAAAGTTTGAACAAACGTTTTTTGTTTCGAATACAGGCAAACATCACATCTTTTTGTTTTGTTTTTTTTTTATTCATTCATTCATTTACAGAAACAAAACAAAATCAATGTTCATTTGTATTTATGATATATACTACTTCCTTTATTGAGACATTCAAATATTGATGATAACAAAATGATAAAGAAAAGACGCATTTTGTATTTTTCAAATCATTCTTCATGTTTTTGATGTGATAACATTTTTTATTGAAAAATTTCTGGAAAAAATCATTTCGTTACATTCGATTGCCATAAACAAATTTTACCTTCTATTTCGAATGTAAAAGGGAATAATTTTCACTCTTTATTTTTTTGATTGATGTAATAAAATTGAATGTTTAATAATCAGAAATGAAAAAAAAGGAGACAATCAATTTTCACTGGAATGGTTATGAAAATTGCACCATTATGTTCGAATGAATCATTTTTATCATGTTTTTTGGATGATCATTATAATGTTAGCAACAGTGTTCCTCATTATCATTCAAAGTGAAGATTATTAATTTTTTTGCTTTATATTCAATTTTAAATGATAATGTTATCGTAAATATTTAGCTTTTAATGATAAAAATAAGAAAAAAACATCACCAACATCATCATTTCATTATTGGGAATCATAAATATTACATTTTACGACATTTGATGTATGTTGATGGAACTGTCAAAGTGTACCGTTATATTCTTTACTTCCATTTATTATGTTCATGCATTCAGGTGATTAGGAATTTTATTCTAGTTTATTACGAGTTTTTTTCCAGGATCTATAAAAAAATGTTTTTTTTTGCCTAATAAAAGCAAAATTCAAGTCAATCATATTGAATGTCAATCGTTAGATTTTTTTTTGGCTTTGACATTTTGATTGGAAAAGAACATTCTTGTTCTAGAACTTTTTTTTGGCTTTTTATCTTTATTTTTTTTTTGTTGATATAACAAAATTGGGTTCACAAAAAAATAAATAAATAAAAATAAACAAAAATATTTACAAGGTCGATTCGCTGTTCAATCCTATTATATTTCAAAGTTTTTGGCTGCTAGTTTGTTTTTTTTGTAAAAAATTTTCATTATTCAATTTTTTTGAAATATTTTCATTTCGATTTCGTTCTTCGGTAACGATTCTTGTTCCACGATCCCATGCCCATGCTTTGATGAATCCAAATCCACGATCAATGGTTGAATAATCCTGGTGGGTAATTTTTTGGGATTTGATTGGCCCAATTTAGTTTTCAACGATCAATATATTAATGTAGTTGTTTATTTTCAAATAGAGGATTTAAAAAAAATTGAACATAAAAACGAGATAAAAAAACATAAAAACAAATGAGAAAAATAATAAATGAATAGAAAAAAGGATTAGATAAGAATCATTGATTTTTTTCCCAGTTTTTTTTCAAAAATTCTAGGCTACTCAATTCGTAAAGTTCATCTATAAAATACAAAAAAAAGGAATAAAAAATCAAAAAGATAAAATGAACACTAAATGAAAAACAATAAAAATAAATTTTAATCGACTGGATGACATTCACAATTGGCTAAATATCTGTTTTTTTTTCAACAAACACACACCCAAATAAACATAAATTCTTGGAAAGAAAAACTATTGTAATTTCTATTATCATTATTATTACTGTAATTAACTTGATTCTGTTTGTTTTGTTAAAAATAATTTATTTTCTATTATTAAATTAGTTTTTTTTTGAGATAAATTAAATTTAGAAATCAATAAAGAAATTAGAATAAAAATAAAGATTCACACGCAAACAAAGATTGATCAAGATCATTAGCAAAAAAAAGAATGTAATAAACAAGTACAAAAAGCTTATGTATTAAATCGACTTATAATGACAAATATTCTGTGATGCTTTGGTTTTTTATCAAGATAATTAGTAATTTGAGAACTGTAGTAGTAAAATTTATAATCAGTTAGTAAAAGAATTAAAAAAACATTATCAAATTTAATTTTCTACCTGCATGCAATTGAGGTTATTATTCGATAAGAAAAAATTGATTCAATTTGGATGTAGAATTAGATGATGTTTAGTTTTTTCTCTGTTTAATCCATCGTTGATTGTCCGAATGAACAGAAAAAAAATTCGAGAATCGAACTGTTTTTATATCAATAATAGAATGAGAAATACTTTAACCGTTAGCTAAACAAAGATAAAGCGAAAAAGTTGATGAAAGAAAAATATCATGTAAATTTTCAAAATAACAAGTAAGATAAATAAATGAAAATCTTTATAATTCATTCAAATAATGATCATAATGACTAAATGATTTTTATACAATGGCAACATTCCATTAATTTTATATATCACAAACAGAATAGATTGGAATGAAAAAGTGAAAAACATTTCAAATTACTAAAATACCAAACACCAAATTGAATATACAATACCCATGTGAGATTTGAAAGAAATGAAAAGAAATAAGATTTCAAATGTTAATTTGTGAATGTTGCTTATTTATTATTTGTTTTTATTGACTCATCAAAATAATTTGAATGTTGATTCTTCTATATGGAGATAGTTCTAATAAATTTTTTTCAGGTGAATCCAAATTTTATTTTATTTTTAAATGATTCTTTTTTAAATGAAAAATTTTTGATTATATATTCAAACCTTTTTCGTATTATATTGAAAGGAGAAAATTCTGTTTGAAAATGATCTTATTTTGCAAGTAGATATTGGAATGATATTTTATTGTTGACTGGATACTAACAAAGCGAAAAATTCTAGACAAAAGATTCCAAAGCTCAAAGAATAAAGAATTCAATATAGAAACCTAGACAAGAATCAAGAAGAAATAGAAAAAATCTTGTTTACACACCGCAAATGTGTTCCATTTTTACTAATTTTTGTAATTTTCGCCATTGCTAAAGAAACAATTGCTTATTAGGCGAAAGAGAAAAAAAATAATTAAAATCAGAAATTAATTGTCTAGGACTGTAGGCTGTAGAAAAGGATGTGCCATATTGGAAAGTCATAGAAATGGAAAAAATACAACAACGAAAATACAGAAATAATGAAATAAATAAAAAAAATATTTTGACAAAATAGAATGTTTCTTTATAATTTTTCGATGTATTGGAATTTGTATCCGCTTAGTATCTATCTGAATTTTATTTTGAAATTCTAGAAATCGATCATCATCATCATCATTGATTATAATATGGATTATGTAATTTATATTTTTAGTTTGACGTTAGTTTTCTGGTTATTGATTCTTTTATATCGAATAAAAAAAAGTCATCAATCATTTCAATTTCAATTTTTACTCCTCCATTAGTTTTCATATGAATGAAAAAAATATGTCATAAATTTGTTGCATAAAAGCGGCAACAACAACAACGCAATGACAGTATTAGATTGAAGTTTCTATTTGTAATGTTATTTAATTTGAAATTTTTCTGTGTACTTACTTTGATCGACAAAGTTTCATTTTTTATTCCATGTTCTTCTTGTTTTTGTTGTTGTTGTTGTTCAATTGAATTGATGTCATGTTTTTGTTGTTTTGATCTAAATGATGAAATTTTATCATCTTCATCATCATCAGCATCGGCATCGGTATTGTCATCAGTATCAATAGCTATTTGTTCATTTTCATCATGTCCGTCATCAATTTTTTCCCTATTATCATTATTATTGTTTTCGTTCATTCGATGATGGCCATATCGCTCTTCTATTATTTGTTTGGATGGCATTTTAGCTTCATCATTATTATTATTATTGAAATGTTCATTATTGTTATTGAAATTTGATAGTGATAAAATATTTTTATCATAAACGTTATTATTATTGTTATCATCATCATCATCAAATCGATTGAAATTCATATTCATTTGATCGTTATCATTTGTATAGTGATTATTATTATTGTTATTTTGAAGAAGGCTTTCATTTTGATTATGCTCAAACAATAAATATTGTCTTGGTATTCGAACTGTTGGATTTGAATTCGGTCTCCAAGGATTTGTAAAATTTTTTAAATTCAAAAACATTTCTGTTTTATTATCATTTTGATAATGATATTGAGAATCTGAACCATATCTATCATCACCATAATTTGAAATCGTTGAATTTTGTCTAATTTGATTTTGTTTTCCATGACAATCTATCAAATGTTTTGGTTCATAATCATCATCATCATCATCATTTCCGACAGAATGGGATAATGTTTTAGATGGAACTACTTTAATATTTTTGTTGTTATCATTGTTATTGACATCATCGATATTTGACATTGGATGTGTTCTGATTTGATCAATCATCGATTGGATTTTAATTGGAATTGTTTTCTGTGGTTTTTCAAGCAAAAATATTGATTGTTTTTGTTTTTGATATTCATCCCAAACAATTTGTTGTTCATTGTTATTAGTGTTGTTGTTTTTTTTAATCAATATTGTTGAATCAGAAATAACATTCTTAATTTGATTACTCGAATGATTGAGTTCATCTGGAATGTTGTCCAGATTTTCATTATAATTTCTATTATCCGAATCATTATTTCGGCTATTCACATAAATATTGTTGTCAATAAAATTCTGTCCATTTTTTATGTTTGACATAAATTTCTTATCTGTAATTAGCGATGGTAAGGTTTTCTGCATCATAGACTGTGTTTTTTGGTGTTCGATTTGAATTAAATTGGATGGTTTATTTATTTTTCCTGAATATTTGCCATTCTTTTCAAAATCCTTATTGTCAGTAATAGAAAAATGATCATTTTTATTAAGACTATTATGATGACGGTCTTGAGACATCACAGGAACATCATTACTATTCCATTGTACATTATTATTTTGATGTTCATCCAATTGAATTTTTTTCATTTCACCAATGGTTTTAGTCAATACAGGTCGACCATAACCATTTGACCATCCATTATCGAAGATTGGAAAATTTCCTATTTAGGTTCAAAACAAATGATATTTGAAAAAAAATTTCATTAAAGGAATGAAAAAAGAGATTATATTATAACTTCCGTAATAATATTTTATCAAACAATTTTTCCTCTTGTTTAATGATTCTATTATCGATAAGAATATTATCATAGCCATAAGGAAGGTGTGAGGGTTGATTGAAAAAAAAACAATCGAATCACGTAGGCAGTTGTTTTATTTGGTTTTTAAAATAAATTTTTTTCTATCATGTAAAAAAGTTGAGACTCTGCATGATGTTAATTCTCTACCTTAAACTTATTGATAAGAAAAAAAATATCAAAAATTATTTCAATTTTTTCTAACTATAAAAAATTATTACCATTGACAAAAATAGAATCGGTCATATACCTTTATATATTGTGTTTGGTTACAAAACAATATCATGAAATTAAAAAATATGTAAACATAGCTATTTAATTTACCAATGTAAATACCAGAATGATTAGATTTTTTTCCATTCTTTACGTTTGAATTGTGTCACACGGGCAGAGCATTTCAGACATTTCAATTATTTCGAGAATTTTGAGGAAATTATTTTTTTTTGTTCAAAAAAAGGCAAAAAACTAAAACAAACAATTGTTCATTTTTTTAATTTTGTTTTTTGTTTTATATAGAATTCTTTTCATTCTGCATTGATATTTCTAAAGATTAAAATGAAGAAAAAGATAAAAAATAATTCATATTTGCATTTGTTTTGCCTAAAACCAAAAAATGGCAAAAATTTTCATCTCTTTTATTTAACATTGTTTCAATCATAAATGGGGTTGTACATATTATCTATAATTAAATAAATAAATAATATTCAGGAAAAAATTGTCAGAATTACTAACCAAATTTTGTAAATAAAATTTATGAAAAAAATGTGACATTTACCTCGATGATCATTAAATCGATGAGGGGTGTGGTAATAGTGGTGTTGATCATGTTGACGTTTCAAATTAAAATCATTGAATAATGGAAAATGTTGTATTATGGCGATTGGAAAACGAGAATTTTTTTTCAAATTATGATAAACAAAATTGTCACCACCATTATTCAATCTTGTATTCAATGGAAATAATGGATTGAAGTCAATAAAAATTGGTCGTCTATTATGATGATAATAAGGTTGAATATTATCTTTAGCTAAAGTGGTTGTAAAAATATTCATTAATTCTATTAAACAAATTATCCATAAACATGTATGATGTAGCAACAAATTATAATATGAATAATGTCGTATTGGATATTTTGAAAATTTACAATCATATTCAAACTTGAACAAATTACTTGTAGTACTTTTCGACAAACAATGAAAATAGTTATTTCGATGCGAATGACAATGATAAAGTTTACTTGATGACAAATAATTTTTTGTTTGTTGGTTTGTCGTCACAATATTCTTTGATTGTTTAGATTCTTTGCATGAATTCATGTGAAAAAACATGATGATGATAATGATGTTTGAAAAATGTAAAAAGCTGCTGTTGTTGATGAATATTTTCAAGGACTTTTTATTCTTTTTTACAAAAATTAATTCTCTGCTATCCAATTGTATGCAAAAATGTTATTTTGGTTATAATATTTAATTGAAAATTATGGAATGGATTTATTTATGAATTTGAAGTGATTTCAACATTGAAGGTAAATATTACCTCATATAAAATAATGATGGAATGGGTATTATGCAAATCATCACGAATTTAATCAAGATGAGAGTATTTTTCTTGTTGATGTTGTTAATATTATTGCAAAAATGCCTGATATTAATGATTTCCAGAGAAATTACAATTCCATATGGATTATAAGATGATAAATTTACATTTTTTGTAATTAATATTCTCACTGTCAATTGCAATGACTATAATGATGGAAAATAGGTATAACATTCAGAATTGTTCAAAGAAATGAATGGAATTAAGTATAGGAAATAAATATATCACCAGAAAAAAATCGAACCGATCATTAATCATTTTGTTAATGATAATTTCCTATGAAACCATAATACGTAGCCAGGTTGTTGAAAAATTAATGAATGAAACAAAAACCAAAAAAGTTAGCTAATGAAAGAGTTGAAACGTCAATGACAGACAATTGAAATAATATATGTGTTTGTCTAAAAGCAAGACTTTTTTTCTCAACCAACTATTTCTACGTTCATTGATTTTTTTTCTGAAGATATAATTATTGTATAATTGATAACAATTTGTGATACAGATAGAGAGACAAAACGTAATAGTTTTTTTTTCTACGTAAGTCAACCAAGGCGACAACCAATAGAGGTCAGATCAATCCATTAAGTGTAACAGATTAATTTATTGTCAAAAATCAACAATTTTTTCAAGGTAACAAACAATGAAACAAAATCATTTGTCCACAAATTTATCAAGGATCAAATTTGAAAATAAAAACAAAATGGTGACGATAGATTTGGAATTGTTTTAAATTTACAAATGGACCCGAAACAAATGAAATGGAAAAAAACAAGTTATTTTTCTTCATTATTGCAAAATAGAATTTCTTTAATTCTCAAATATTTTAGTTTTTTCCAATCTTTTTATTTCAATAATTTTCTATTTTTTTTCAATGTTTTTTCTTTTACCTTTTTCTTATCTACAAAGAATTTGGAAAAATGTATTCTTTTTTAAACATAAATTTTTCACCCAAGGGAAGCAAGAATTGGTTTTTTATCTGGCCTACCAACGTCATATTTTCATTGATGTTGTTGATAAGTGATGGTGATGATCTTCTATTTCTTTTATAATTATAAAAAACAAGATGATGAGTTAGTCTTCTAAGTAACTTATTGTGTAAATTTAGAAAAATTTCGAATTGATTCCACGTTTGTTGTTATTAGAGTTTTTTTTTGAAAATGAACAAAAAATTAATAAGTGGAAATGAAATCAAATACAATGACAAGAATGGCAAAAAGGTTTGTCGCATCACACAAACACACACGCAAATATGACAACCAGAACGAAAAAACAATGAAAGAAAAACTATTATGAAGGTTATGAAAACATTAAAAATGAATCTTTAAAATTGTCGAATACTGAGAATGAACACCCATAATGAGATATATGAGACAAATTGAAATTTATTTCTTTGTCAAGTCTAAAATTTGGAACAATAATTTATAACCAAACAAAACAAAAAAAAATAATGAAATGATAATAATAGAAATGGAACAAAATTGTTTCATTCGTTCATGATTTGTGCTAATGACGGCTTCATTATTTTATTTAAGATTAATTTGGTTTTGGATTCTATCTTTATCCCATGATGATACTGTCCATTATTTTCATTTTCGTTGATATCAATTTCATTATTATCCATGTGTGATTTGATATTATTGTAAACGTGCCTTGAATCACATAATTTTTTTTAATTGTTGATCCTTGAAAGGTACAATTTATAGCTGAAAATTTAAAACAAAACAAAAAATCCAACTCTCAAGTTTATTTGTTGAAAGCAAATAGATTCTGAACAGATTGTTTTGTTGTTTTTGTTTTTTGACTGTAAAAAATAACGAATTCATACGAAATAATAATGACAGAAATGATTGAATGAGTGGCAAACGAAAAAAATAATTAAAAGTTTTTTCTCTCAAACCAATTATCTATTCAAATTTCCACTTTTTGTTGTTGTTGTTGTTGTTGAATTCAATTGTTTTTCAAAATAAAAATGTTCCAAAACATCAAAAGTTTATCATGTTTATATTGTCTATAGAAGAAATTTTTGATAGAATTAATTAAAATTGAAAAAAATATTTCAAATATTCTCAAGTTATAAGGGAAAAAACAAAATTTGAAATGATAATAACAACAACAATATGCCTTAAGCTAAATAATTCTGTCTTTAGAATTAGAATATTCAAATATGATTGTTGTTTCGATTCCAGTGATATAAAAATCTTACAATAAAAAAAAAGAATATTAAATTCCAACAAATCGATTTAATCTCTTGTTGAACGATAGAATAACTAGAACGGGGAACAAATTCTTTCGGCAATTTTGTCTCAAAAGTTTTTTATTTTAAACTTTATTTTTATTTTTTCGTTACCATCTTATAGATTATCATGTCAAGAGAATTTTGAATCGACTAGATCAACAATTATCATCAACATCAACATCATAGGCAAAATTCAAATTCCAGGAAAAATTATTGAAGATAAAGATCATGGCATGTCAGATAGGCAAACAAAAAATTTTTTGACAATATTTTTTCCAAAACAAAAAAACAACACGAGATAAATAAATGTGTTTGGTTCAAGTAATTTGAATCCTGGGAAAATGTTTTTAAGGTTCAAAAGAAAAAAAAACAGTGAGGATTTTTTTTTTCTTTTTTTTGTCGGTATTAGTTGTGAATTCAAGTGAATAATACTTTTTAATGTATATCCGATATCGAGATTCAATCTAGACTATAGTTTACAACAACAAAAAAAAAGAAAAAGATGTCAAAGCGTGGCAAAAATAAATAGGAAGAAGACTCACCGGTATTATCATCATCATCATTCATAATATTCTGTATTCTGCGCATGACATACATATTTTGTGATAACGATATATTATAACATCATCCTTCTTTTTTTCCATCAGCTAGCAAGCTAGCTAGAAAATTGTACTTGTTTACATTCCTTTATACCGACGAGATTCTTTTCAACAAACACCAAATACGTATACCATTTTTTTCTAACGAATCTCGCACTCTCTGAAAAACATCACTGGTGGCATCATCTAAACAACCAAACAAACAAACAAAAAATGTTTGATACCAAAACCCACCATATTGCTTGTATTGAAACAATCACTGATTCTTAACTGTGAATTCTGTATAAAGTATATAAAAAGCTACAAAATTTTGAAATAAAAAGTTGTGAAAAAAACATATTTTGTGTGTTTATGTTTGTAAATTTTTACAATGATCACAAAAGATTCGAAAATCAAAATTAATAATGTGGCCGAATCTTTTTTTTTTGAGATTGGTTCATCGATCGATTATCATTATCATCGTGAATGGAAACTGAAAAAATAACCACAATATTTTTTTTTTGTTATTGTTGTTGTTAAAAAGTTTGATGAAAAATTATTGTTAATATTTTTTTTGACATTGAAAAATTTGTTTAGTTTCAAAACTAAAAAAAAAATATTTAAAAAATACAAATTCTGTGTGTATTCTATAAGTGATTCGATGTGAAAATAAATCTAAACATCAAACATGTCTACTTGTAAACATTTTCGAACATCCATCATCCACACATATGGCTAAACAAAAAAAAACATCCTATTAAGTGATTCTTATATCGAACAGGAAGTCATACTGAAATTTTTTTAATTTAAAAATCATTGAGCAAATTTTTTTTTCTGGTCCATCCAATTTTCTCAACAAAAAAAAAAATTCTTTTGAAATTGTCAAAAAAAAGAAAACGATTCATTTATAATAAACTTGAACTTTTTTTGTTTTGTAGATCTAAAAAAAACCATCAGACCGTAGAAAAATTTGTGACCACTTTTTTTAAAAAAAAATATATTTTCAAAATTAAGATCTTGGTTGTATTAAAGAAAAAGGAAGCAAAAACGAGAAAAACTCCCAAATCAAACAATAACATTTCGGAAACGGAGTTTTCAGGGGAGAGAGAGAGAGAAGAAAACTCGAGAGAATCATCACTCGTGCCCGATATTCACAAAAATATTATCAACATCCGTAAAGACATTTTTTTCATTTTATTTGATAATAATTTTGAAACTACTTTTTATTTGTGTGTTATTTATATTGTGTTGTTTACAGTGCATTGTAACAAATTTTGATTTAAATTAACTTTGATATTTTTTTTTTGCTTCTTTTTTTTTCGTCCATCTTACTTTTTTTTGGAATGTGCATCACGAAAAAGTAGATGATCATCATCATTTCAAATTCATTAGAATTTGGACGTATTAGCTGTATTTATTTCAGAGGCTTTTCCTAAATATTTTTCTCTTTTTTTTTGTTTGTTTACCAAAAAGCTCATTTGATTTTCTGCCGATTCTTTCATTTTATTTCATCATCATCATCAACATCATAATCATCATCATTGAAATGAATGAATTCACTTAGGATTCAATTTGATTCATATGTCTAAACACACACACACACATGGATTCTTGGTAGCTTAAAATCAGATTTTGTATTTGTTTCTTATATAAAAATGTGTGTGCAAGTTTGTGAAAATGAAAAATTGAAAAATAGTCAAAAACGATTTTTCTTTATTCATTTATTTCTCTTTTTCTCATACTCTCTTTACTTTCACTTATTTTGAATTGAGTTAATGTTTTATAAATGTGTGAACCTAAAGAATCAATGAAAAAAAACAAAACAATTCTATTGCTGTTGTTCCGTTGCAAAGACACACAGATTTACACGCATCAAATCATCACAAGAATAGTATTAACAGCAACATCAACAATAACGGGCAATTTGAAAATATCTGGTGTTTCTTTTGGTGTTAAATATAAGCATATGTAAATAATTGTGTGTGATAAAAAACAGACATGAAATTTTTAACAGAAATTGTTATTTAAAAAAAATCCATTTTCATCATCATTGATTTTGTTTTTCAATGGGAATTTTTTTTCCTGTGACCATCACAAATATACTGTTACTGGGGTGAAATGAATTTAACATTTTATTCTTTATAACATTTAATGATTTGCTCCTGTTATTACATTCAATCATCAATGTTTTCATTTTTTTCAGTTGAAAACGATTAAAAAAAATTTCCAAATTCTTTTTATAATGTCAAATTCTTTGTTGTTATATTTTTTGCTCATTTCATTTCTTTATTGTTAAAAATAGAATTTTTTGTTTAAATATAATGTTAATAATAATAATAAATTAGATATTAATCATGTCTGCCAATCATTCCGAAACAATCATTAATAATTATAATAACGAGATGGCTACATCAACCATCCCTACAACGAACACTATTATAACAACTATGAACGATAATAATAATGATTACAATAGTAATTTTGAGGTCAGTATTGCTGTTTTCTTTAAATATTTATTTATTTTTGCCATTTTGTTACAATCTATTTGTTTTGTAATGTGAAAAACGTACACACACACACACATTAATCAACAAAATAATAGATGATCGAAAATATACGAAAATAATGTTAATAAATAAATCAAAATAATCGATTGTTTTTTGTACGAAATTTAGCAATTTTTATCGTTTGTCATTGTACATTTAGAATCATCGATCAATAAACATCAATATTTATTGTTTTTTTTCTTGTCATTAACAGATTCTGTTCATGTTACAGGTTATTGTGAGTTTAGAATTGTATGAATTTTCTTTTTTTTTTCTATTTTTTTTTTCTAGTTATTTTTTTGTACTTTTCGTATCTATAATTCATAATAATTATGAGCTTATTATAAATGCATTTTTTTTGCATTAACAATATGAATAAAGTCAATGTTTGTTTAAGATGTCATTTACTAGTTTGATTTTTTTTCTCATCAATAGCAATTTACTTTCCTTTTAGATGAGAATCTAAAAAAAATCCAATGAATAACAAAAGTGTTTTTTTTTGTTTTTGATCAAACACTTGAATTGTGTTAGAAATTGTTAATCTTCATCTTCTATTTTATGCTTTTTGCCATCATAATCGATTTTGTCAAACAATATTTTCTTTTTAATGATTTTATTATCAATTAATCTTTTCTGATCATTTTTTTCTTTAAACAACATTACTTTTTCATGTTTTTAATGTTTCATTCTGTTCTTTTTCTTTTTCTTTCGATAATATTTATTATATGTTCAATACTTCTTGACATTATGGTTTTTGTTATGGACTGACAATATCAATTTATGGACCGGAAAAATATTTTTGTTTTAACATTCGAAATAAATATATAACAATCCAGGGTAATGTGTTAGATATAAGTACCGATCCTGAAGTTTATTATCGTGTTGTATTGTTTGGTTATATAACGCCAATATTTTTTCTTATCACATTTGCCGCAAACATATTGATCGTTTTGGTTTTATCGAGGCCAACAATGCGTTCTCCAACAAATCTTGTATTATTATCGATGGCAGTTGCTGATCTACTAACATTGATATTTCCTGTTCCATGGTATTTTTATATGTATACATTAGGCTATTATAAATTTCTACTATATCCGGCATTATCATGTAATCTTTATCATGTTATGAGTGGAATTCTTCCAACATTCTTTCACACCGCATCAATATGGTGTACATTGTTATTAGCCTGCCAAAGGTTTGTATTCAGAATTTGATTTTTCCTCTTTACAATCCATTAGCATCATGATAATGTCATAGTGATATATTTAATTACTACATTAATTTGCTGACAAAAAAAAATTAATTTTCTTATACGACAGATACATTTACATATGCCATCCCACATTGGCGAAAGTCTGGTGTACAAATAAACGCGTTACACGCACCATATTGGCCATATTTTTATTAGCTTCCGTCCATCAGCTGTTGCGTTTTTTTGAAAGTCATTGGATTGATACAATTGTTACGGTATCATATCCTCAAACACCAACACCATCATCAACACATAAATCGATTTTTGACGATGACAATGCTGAGCTAATGTCAACAAAAAACGAAATATCAGAAATTTTATTAGAAACAAACAATGAAACAATTATAATCAATGAACCACAAAAAGCATGCCGTCAAGTAATAGCAAAATGGATAACATCGATCGAGAATCTTTATTTTGGAACATATTTTGTATTTCGTATTGTCTTTGTTCACATTGGACCTTGTTTACTATTAGTCATATTCAATGTTCTTTTATATAATGCATTGAAGCGTGCCGAAAAAACAAGAAATAAATTACTTAATAAACAACATCGTCAACATTCTTCTGAACAACGAAATGGTTCATCTGGTTGGATAAAACAACAACAATCCGACGATCAACTGATACAACGAAAAGCTAATCGAGGACGTGATGCTAATTCAACTACTGTTATGTTGATAGTGGTTGTAACCGTATTTTTGATTGTTGAAATACCATTAGCTGTTGCAACAGCTATACATGTTACAGAGAATATGTTTACCGTTGATATTGTATCCGATCATTTTCTTTCAATGACAATTATATTCTCTAATTTTTTAATCATTATATCATACCCTTTAAATTTTGCCATCTACTGTGGAATGTCTCGAGCATTTCGTGAAACATTTCAGCAAATGTTCCTTAAGAATATATTTGAAATTCGTCCAACGACTAGATCATCAACCACAGTAAAAGCAACGACAACGTTAACAACAATGACAAATATTTTATCAACAGACAACAATACTGCTATCAACAACAATACAATAGCCTTACAACCAAAACCGCCAACGATTTCAAGTATGAATCAATCGAAAATTTCAAATACGAATATCATTTCATTACCAACCCCTTCGAATCAAAATAATGGCAATGATAATGATAAATGTCACACAAAAACATTAAAATCACATTCATATAATGATAATTCCGAACGAATTAGTAGTAATTCTAATAATAATACAAATAATAATTTGATGGAAAAAATTATCAAAATTAGTGTTGACAATGATGATAGTAATGATAATAAACAGGAGGCAAACCAAATGATAATAACTATCAATACAAAACATTTTAACAACCAAAAGATTGAAAATAAAATTAATACCAATAATGATGATAATAACAAAGAAATTGATGATAAAAATGATGATGTACCAAAAGAAACGATGGTCTAGACTCTAAAGAATGATAATTAATTGGAAAGAATATTTTTATTCATTTTTTTTTGTTATTGTTGCTTTCTTAAATTTGTTGCACAAATGCTAATTTAGCAGTGTGCTTAAATAAAAGCTTATTATTGTTATTGTTATTGTTGCTGTAAAGATAAATATTATCCAAAATCAAATTCGAGACAAACAATGTGATATTAATGTTGCTATTATGTAATAATATATGATTGATTCGATAGAAATAAATCATATTTATGGTTTCTTTTTTGCGATATTTTTGGTTCAACACAAACAACTAGCAGGCATTAGCCAAAATTAATGAATAGTTAATAGATTGATAATACTGAGATGTCTGTAAAAAGTCATATTTTTTTCTAATATGATGGAATCAGAATGTTTATAACTGAAACTATTAGAATGAAAATTTTGTGTATATAATGGAATTCCAATCAAATAATTGATAAATATTTGTCTTGATAATGGATCACTATCGAATGAATTTTTTTTTATGTGGGTGTTAATATTATTATTAATGTGGCTTGAACTTTGTTATCTCATAATTGTTGTTAACAATAAAAAAATGTATTTTGAAAACGATTGTAATTTTTTTCTGCTCTATCAAATTCATCCCTATTGGTAAATTGGCTTTACTGGCAATCATTGCAAATATGAATATTCTTTCCTGAATGTAACTTATTGATTGTAATGTTTCATTTTTTTTCCAAAAATTATATGTAAAAAGTCTATTGTATCATTACAATTATTATTATGGAAATAAATTTTTTATTTTTTTCAATCAAAAACAAAATCATTTTATTGTTTTAGGATTTACGGTCAAACGGATAGAACAATGTCAATAATGAAACATTTGACGATTAAAAGAAATTATTTTTGGACATGACATCGATCGCAAATTTCTTTGTGGTGTGAGTGATGATCGCAAATTTAATAACAACTTTTTCCAATACAAAATAAAACAGATTGTTGGATCGATTTATTCAACGGGTTTTTTTCAGACAAATGAATTCCATTCAAATGAAAACATCTTTTTTGATGTTGCTATTTTCATTTTATCGATTGCTTTAACTGTACAATTTAATTTTTTTTTGATCATTAGTTAAAAAAAATTTTAATTACTACCTACGTGATTAAATGGAAATAAATTCAAGCAACAGCAAAATGAACTATTTAATCGCCAATTTATTTTTACTTTATTTTGTTTTTATTTATAAAAATTGAAATAATAAACATACAAATAATTTTCATTATTACAACAATAAAAAAAAACTTTAAACCTAAAATCCAATGGGAATAATGACAACAACAACAACAAATAATACTTTTGGACATTTCATTCATCATATTTTTTACTTGCTATACTTTTTTTCATCGATTTAGATTAACTCATTCTTTCATCAATAGTGAATGATATAGAAAGTAGATGAAACAAATAGACTCCCAATGGAATTCGAATGATAATGGTAGCAATGTTGACAAGTTTTTGTCAATTGAGAAGACTGGAAGTGACAGAAATTTTCTGCAGTTGAAATAAAAGAAAACAACGATGACAATTTTTCTCATCATCATCATCGTCGTCACAAACAAAATAAACAATGGAATTCAATGCGAATTAAATTGAAATTTTCAATTGTCATATATGATTATTGTAGTGCATCTCATATCATAATGTATCATTGTTTTTCCATTTTCATATTGAATTTCAAATTTAATAAGAATCCTAAATGTTGTTATCGTTGTCATTGTTGTTGTCATTGTCTATTGTCTATATTGATTTTATAAATGATATTTACATAATATCCATGCTTACATAATCAATATCGATAAAAAAATATAGAAAATTGTGAAACAATAGCAAAACAAAGCAAAAAAATTCTAGTGGCTCAAACATGTCAATGATGGTATGGATGTGTTAAACCAACAAAAAAAAATGGTAAAATCAATGAAACTTTTTTCTTTCGTATCAGTCGTATTTTATCTATTTATCTCTTTCGCTCTTTCCATTCTGTATTCTGCGTTTTTATTTCAGCTTAACCATCAACATGACCCATGATATGATTATTTGTTTCGATGAAAAAAAAATACATGCACAGATTAATATAATGTTAATATAAATATACACAATGTAATATGGTGAATAAATGAATGAAGATGAAAAAAGATACAAACGAAAAAATCTATTATATCTATTTGGAATTACTAGATTTTACTGAACTGTTGTTTGTTGTTTCACTATATTTTCCTTCATTTATGTATCTTTTCACACCGGATTTTTTTTCTCTCTTGAAATCCAAGAAAAAAAAGTAGAAGAAAAATTATTAAAGAAAATCCAAGTGGAAAAAAATATATAGATCTTTGTTTTCTATACATTCCTTTTCATCACATTCTCTCGTTCTGTGTGTTACAAATGATAATATAATGGAATCAAAACAAAAAACAAAATAAAATATATTAAACAATAACTATATGAAGTTTTCATCATTCTTGTTCGATTTTTTTTCGCATCTCTATTATCTATCTTAAAAAAATGTAAGTGTTCAACGGAATTGGGGTGATGGGGTAAATCGGCTCAAGAAACTTGTACTCGTTAGATTTATTTTTATTTTCATTATTTAATGTTTCAAACTTCATATAGAAAAGTGATTATGTTTGGTAAGAAAAATAATTATTGGCCATCATCGAAAATGTCGTTAAAAACTGTAACCAAGTAAAGCAAAAGAAACTGTCTTTCTTATTTATATGAACCGCATATGAATCCAGAAAAAAAATTTGCCATTTTTCAACATGATGAAGAAAATTTTCTTTCACTAAAAATAAGTGACATCAAAAATAAAATTACTGCATTATATGAAAATCATTTTCCATCGTAATAGAGTTTTTCTCATCTATTGATTCAAGAATTTTATCATAATCATCATCATAATTTTCTTCTGCATTTAATTTCTGCTATAGTTTTTTGTTCTGAATATTTTATTCTTAATAATATTTGGCAATAATTTTAAAGATATTTTTTATTTTTATAATGTAACAGAATAAAATAGGATGCTATACATTGTATTACTTTATGAAAATATAAATCAAGCTCCATTTATATTTATTTAGATATAAATTTTTTTTCCTTAAAATTTGTACCTCATATAAGATACAATCTTTGAACAAAACAATGATTCTTGATGCATCTATTGGTGTGCAATATATGCGCTTATTTCTCGTATTTCCTGTGAATGTGATTTCTAGCAAAATAAATCATCCATTCATTCATGTCCGATGATGGTATTTCTTATTTTTATTTTTCGCTTGATGACGAGGATTTATGTGAATTTTTGTTTCGGCATTTTACAAATTCGTTATTTTTTTTTGCTGTTAAGTCCGTTCATTCTCTATTTTTTCTGCATTTTACTTTGAATCTTTTTTAATGTTATTTTTCCTTCAAATATTCATGTCTGAATTTGATAATAAACATGGAATTTTTTGTTTTAAATATATTGTTATTTGATTCAATTGGATAAGAAAAAAAACGGAATTCTTTCATTTGAAATGAATAAATATTTGAAAATGTGTGATGATAATGATGGTGATAAAATCTTTTCACCACCATTAAACCAATAAACATTACTTTTTTTGTTTTATTGGAGATACCAGAAACAAAAAGAAAGTAAAAAAGAAATAATGAAAAAGTTTTTTTTCTTCTTTACAAACACATTTGATTTTTATATATTTTTCTAATGATTTAAACATTGAATATTTATCATTGTTCTTTTTGCGTGTGTGTGGGATGAATCATTGGTTATATAATTTTTAACAAATCAGCGGAAAAAATAAGAAATCAAATCCTTTTGTATTGTTTTTTTTTGTTCTTAGCAAATAACATTAACTAGATCGGATATTAATTTTATAAATACAAAACGTTTATTAACTCTGCATGATTTTTTTTACTTTCTCTTTCTTGGTGGTATCTTTCTTTCTTTATACACATTTATGTATACCGAAAGTAAACAATCTAAAGGAAAAATTGTTTATTTAAATTATAACAACCGTAAACACAAACCAATGATTGCTGACATCGTTGAAAGAACATTGCCGATTTATTGAATTAATAAGGATAAATATATGTGTGTTCGGATGTGATAGAAATTCTAATTAACTTTTGATTTAAAGCGATTGAAGTAGGAGAAAAAAAGGAATCCCAATGTTTCAAAGAAAAAAAACGGAAATCAAAACTGATAGAAATGGTGAATACTGAAATGAATGTAAAACTTTTATTATATATCGATTGATTGATTGTAATTCATACGAAATTCTGTTTTGATTTGTTTTTTTTCATTTCTGATTTTTTTATTTTCAATATATTTTGCTGTGGTTCAGAATCCGAAATTCTCACTTGTTTTTCATACCAATGATTTCGATTATATGTCATTCTTTTTTTTTCTCCCATTTCTGTCAATCTTGTTTCAATTAAATTTGCAATGATAACTGTTACAATTGTTTTTCCAACCATTTGGCCACTTAGGATTTGTAACATTATTCTTTATCGATTTGTTCTGGAAAAAAATTTCAAGCTATACAATCTTTTTTATCTTGTTATTTTTTTATTCGACATTGTATTAGATTTTAAAATTTAATGAAAAAAAAAACTTGATTAAAAAGAAAGAAAAAGATGAACAAAAAAAAACGAAATGAAATGTTTAATTTAATGAAACTGATTCCAAGAACTTTATCATGTGTGTGGGTGTGTATGTTTTTTCAGTCAAATGAATGCTTATTTTATTTTATTTTTATTATTGATATTCTTATCATCGGTAAACTTGGTTTTTATTTATTATTGAAATAATTTATTTATCTTCAATATCCATTTTTCAATTATTATTATCATAGTTTGTATATTATATTTTTTATATTGACATTGATATTGTAAATATTGAAAATGATAATGACGATCATGATGTGAAATTTGTTTCAAAAATAAAATGATTCATAAAAAAGAAAAAAAAATTATCATCTTGAAATCGAATTTTCAAATTTTACTATCAAATTTCTCATCCCAATAATGTTTGATGCATTTTTATTTTGGTTTCATTTTTTTCATTAATTCATAATGAAAATCTTTTTATCATTATTATCATGCATCATTCATAATGATGAGTGAATCATTTTTTATTTGTTTATATCAAAATCTAACGGCCTAGAATTGAAATTTTAAATTAGCCAATCTGAAAAAAAATCAAGATCGTATACATTAAAATTCATCATTTTTTGATAACATTACATTCAAATCATGAGATGTACTCGATGGGCTTAATAACAAAGTTCTTATTTTAAGTTTTTTTTTCGTTACATTCAAAATTTCAAAATTCAACAAGATTTTTGGTTTCTCATAAGAAAATGAAAAACGAGAATGATATGTTCTCGAAATTTTTTTCTAAGTAAATCTTTAGATGATTAGAAATTCCAAGAATTTTTCACTTTAGTGACATTTGTTTTGAAACACACGAATCGGTATTTATTTCAATTTTCTTTACACTAATCCTTTAATTTTGTCTAATGAATATAATCCACGGATGGTATTTGGTTTAGCATTTTATTTTATTTTTTCTGAAACAAAATTTGTCAATGTAAATAAAAAACAGTTTGATTTAATGTTCAAGATATTTATATACTGTAAAACATTGCTGTCATTGAAAATTTGAAAAATATTGAGAATCATAAAGAAAAAACTATATTCGATTTGATGCAAAATTTGAACTGAAAAAGTTCAAAAAAAAAATGAAAAGAAAATGCTTAGAATAAAATGAACAAGAATTTTATTTTATTTCTATTTATATAGAGTTATTGTATTTTGATTAATAATGAAATTCTTTTATTGTGAAATTCTACCTTCACATATATTTGTATGTATGAATTGTTAATATCCAAATTCAAATCAGGCATTGAATTCAGTGCACGAAACCTGTACAAAATTTCAATGTGATGTAATCAAATAAAAATGTGGATTGTCCTTATTTTTTTTCTCTATTTTCATTCATTCATTCATTATTATTTTATATTTTCATTTCAAAACGAACCAAAATTTTAAATCAAATCACAAACTGATTGATTTTTTGAATAAGATTCGAATCATTTTAGTTATTGCTGTTATTTTCATTTATTTTCTTCCTCTTTCTCTTTAACTTATTATTATTTTGTCTAAAAAACACTATCGAATTTCAATGATATTTTTCTGTTCTGTTAAGCATAAAGTTATTCATTTTTCTTATTTCAATTTCGCTTATCAATTTTTTCCGCTTTTTGGTCTTCTTATTGTTGTTATACATTTTCTTTTTGTATGCTGCTCTTTTTTCGGAAACCCGAAACAATAACTTTCTATTTTCATATCGATTTTCTTCCATTTTTTTCGATGTTATTGTCAAAATGAAATTCATTCAATTTTTTTTGTTTTGTTTCATTTTGGTTTGAATATCAAATAAAATTTCACTTTGATGACAACATTTACAGCGATTAGTAGAATGATTAAACATTCTATTATTGAATGAAAAACAACAATGAAAACATTATTTATTCTTTTGAAAGCTTTCGACATATATCTAACAATTAAACAACGGCCCATATCATTCTGGGTTTTTTTTTTGTTCATTACATTTATTGTTGACAATAATGATTCGAAAGCGAATGATGAAAAATTCCCAATAGAAATGAAATATTATGTCAATGACAACGGCCATCGGCCACATTCAACAACACTATTCTTTTAATTAATGAACAGAATTTTTTTTTAAGTTTGATCATTTATTTAAATCTATCTTTCGAATGATAAATTTTAAAAAATAAACTAATGTTTAGATTAAAAAATCCTGATATTAATCATAAAAAGAAATTTAATGGATTTTTTCAACAACTTCAAACAAAAATTTATCATACCTTACTTAAACAACGGACAAAAGCATAGTTTATATTTGATAATTTTTTCCGAAATAATGAAAAATTTATTTAATTAAAGATAACATTTTAAAATTTTTGACCTTATTCAATTAATTTCAGTTAAATAAGAATTAAAATCACGTATGAATAATGATATGATATAAAAAATAGATGATATCTGTCAGGATATACAACAACAGATATCATAATTTAAATTAATTGTTGGAGTTAATCCGGACAATGTATACATAAGATTAGTGTGAAAAGCAATGTAAAAAATTAGTTCTCGCATTTTTTTTCTCTTATAATGTTATCAACTGTTGATGGTATTATGTGTTCCGACTGAAATCTGATATAAACAAGGATTTAAAAATAAAATAAGAAATTCCATCGTCATCATTATATAATTGAATTGTGCAAGTCATACAATTCTTTTTTATTAATATTATTAGTGTAATATATCAATGATTTTTATTGTCTAAAAATGTTTGACATGTGTTAGAAAGGCAATGACTTTCAAATCAGATTGATTGCTTACAATCACAATAAACGATTAAATCGTTTTATCCATATATCATTGTCGACCAATGTATGAATATAAGTATATGGTCAGATCTGTCAAACACGTTGATAATGATAAAACGTCGTTTATGTGCGAGTTGCCTGAAATGTTTTGTTTTGTTTTCATCAAATTCACCATCAAGATTTTCATGCAAAATTCTGTGAAAAAACATTGCCCAAACGTTTTTTTATTGATTGTGAATGGAATCAATTTTAATCTCGTTTGTTTGCCTGAGATTTAGTTTCCGTTTGTTATATTCATCGATTTTTCGGGTGTTTTCATTTTAGATATTGATTTCGAATTTGTTATCATGTCAGAATCAATCGAAATGAAAGTTGCTCCTGTTCCCGATCAACCAATTGGTACGGATAGCAAACATTCTAACGAATTGAAAAATCGCTCAAAAAATTCCTCAATTATATTATTGGATGATGTAAATAAACCACAAACGTCGATGGATGACAAAGATCGATCTTCTTTGAATACCGAAAAATTGGGTATCAGTAGTAGTGATGGCGATGATTTAGAACCTATAGACATGTCGATCAATTTGTATGAAACAATTTTATCCATAATGATTCCCTATATTCTTGTGGGCTGTCCATTTAATTATTGCTTTGATCGTAAAAAACATTCGTGCGTTAATTCAATATTTATGAAAGTAAATATTTTTTTCCAATTGCTTTTCATGTTTGTTCCTATCAAACTTATCTTTTTGATTTTTTTACGATTAGATTTATACGTTTGTCATTTCAATATTGGTACACGCAATGGTCGTGTTTTGGTTGGTTCGTCTTATGTACAATTTATTCTCACGCAAACATTTGACCAGTGAATCAATTGAAGATATATTCATTTTTTCATATTTACTGGCCGGCGTGGTTGGTCTTGATCTAATATGGTTTAATCGGAAACGAATTGACTATGTTTTACACTTACTTGATATAAATCCAATTGATAAACGTTGTCAGACATTACTTGCACATAGTTGTTTCCGTTTTAAATGGAATCGTTGGAAATTCCATTTATTAACTTCTATTTCATATGTATTTGCAGCATTGCTTATTTTCTATTATGGATATTTGATATACAGTGCTATAGACATAATAACCGATAAAGATCAAAACCTTGAACTCATATCCTGGCTACGTACTATGCGTTTCATTACAATTTACGCATTATATTTTTTTGTTGCTGATGCTGTATTATTGATTGCCTTAGTTTGGTCACTCAAATTTCGTATTATACATCTGAATTTATTCATTAAAAATTTGATCAAAATCGAAGATGTTCCAGAAATAGATGACATTGAAATCATCAAATCATGGTTTGAAATTTTCAACATATCTATTGATTATTCTTTCTTTCTTTTTTGATTACACAACGTAATTTTGTATCTATTTATTAATTAGGTTTCAAAGCATTTTGAAAATAACTCGAAAAATCGATGATTCATTCGCATTTTACTTACCAGTGTTCATTGGATTCCTATTTTTTGGCATCATTTATTTCGTTAGCCAAACAATTAATATTGTCAAATCGGGTGTCAATGGCGAAAGTGCACAATTTCTTTCGACAGCATGTTTATCATTTCTAATGTCATTAATATTGTTCTATGGTCTAAAAGAATTGAGTGACATTCATCAACTATCGTCAATGACCAAATTGATTCTGTACGATTATGTGCTAGATACGAAACCCCAAGACAGATCAACGAAATTTTTTGAAGAGGTTTGCATTTCATTCATTCCTGAATTTATGTCATGTTATTTTATTTATTTATTTTTTCGTTTGTCGTTTTGATTTTTTTCCTCCTTCATTCCTTATTATAAATACCGCTGTCATAGATAAATTTTGTTGCTAATGGACTGCTATCTAATCAAGCAACATTCACATTACTTGGACAAATCGAATTAAATAGAAGATTTCTAGCCAAACTTATTTTGATTATTTATTCTTATACAGTTATTTTCAATCAATTCGAAAGAAAAATTCCATCAACAACAATGTCAAATTGATAAAGTCGAAATTCCTATGTACAATAGATTCACGCAAAACAAATACCGCATAAATTAATTTGATGCATTATTTTCACCAAGAATATTATCATTGTAATAATCACCAAAAAAGATATATTAGAAGTAACATTTTTTTCATCCTCAAAGTCATAATATACAAAATTGTTTCGAATATTCACAGCATTTTTACAAATAACATGGTTTTTTCAAATCATGAATATAAATTCTGAACTGTTTTTCATTATTATTAACTCCATCATCTTTTTGAATTTAATAAAAAATAATTTTAATACTTGATGCACAAATTCCTATTATTTTTTTGCTACCATTTTTGTTACTGTACATTATTTATTCAACTGAAGTCATCGAAAAAGTATACTTCTCTTCAATTTGACTCTCAAATAAACAACTCGAAAGTTTTTGTTTTTGGTTTTATCATTTTCATTTTTTTTTGCATTCAATTTGTCCTCAAATAAAAAAATATCAAAAATTCCATTAAAAACCAAAATCAAATGCGTAGTATGTAAAATAATTCCTCACAACCTCAGAAACAAAACATTCCGAGCATGTTATTTAATCAAAAACAAAGTCAAATTTCATCATCAACATAAAAGAACGAATAGATGCAAATGACAAAAAATAAAATTGAATTGAATTTATTTTTAAAAAAATTCATAGGCTTTAAAATTTTTATATTTCTGATTTGATTTCTATTAACGTTAATAGTTTTCATTGAATTCATTTCTTGGAATTGAATCACTAATTCAAATTTAATGCTGATGATTGAATTGAATTCCAAAAAAACAAATTTATATTGAAAATTTGATTGAAATTAAAACAAGTGTCATGATTTTGTTATCTCTAAAATCGTGGTAATGAAATTCCAATAACATTTGCTTTGATTAAAACACAGATTTATATTACAAACAGAAAATTGGATTCTTTTCACATTTTTTTTAATTACGATTAAAATGGGTCGATGGTGTTTGAAAGTTCAAATTCTTTGCTGCCGAAAAAAAATTCAATCAAATTTATAGCTCAATAGATTACACGTGATAATAAAATATCAACGGAGAAAAAACTTTCAAATTGAATTCAATATATGGTTGGCCGACATTCTATTACAAATTTAATCAATATCAGATTGAATACAGATTAAATCTGATACCTATGAATATATTATTTTATCATTTTTTGATTAAAAATGAAATCGAGAATTTTTGTTTTGTTTTGAAAATAACATTATTTTTTACGAAATAATTGTATTTAAGCGTGATGAACAAAAATGAACTTATTTGATTCGTTTTCCGTTTTGAGTTTCTATTTTTTTTTTCATTTATTTCCATACAATAACAGTGAATAAATTAATTTTCTTTCCAAATTTAACATCTTTTTTTCATTATTATTTGACACATTCATATATGAGCGGCAGATATACAACAATTAGGTGAATTTTGAATAACATAATATTTACATAATATTTATTGTCCGAATCGAAAAAAACATAATGAATGAACATATATTTTTTTAAATATAAATTTAAAGCATAAATTGTGCCGAATACATGTTCTGAACATGACGGATTTAAAAGCTCTTTGTAATTAGTGACATAAAATATATTAATAACGAAAAGTTACATTTCAAATTGAAGTTTAAATTACAGTGGATTTTATTGAAATAGCTAACTTATTACGGAATATATAATTGATATTGAATAATATTTTAGTTGTGTATCAATGATCAGTTGTACGATACATAAACAATTTGGAATAAGTACAAATAAAATTTGGATATTTAAAAAAAGTGCAAATTCGAAATATTTTTACGTAAATCTCAGATATTTGATGTAAAATTGATTTAAAATTAATCCCCAAAAAAAAATTATGATTTCATTGAAATATTTTCGAACACACAAGCACATACTATGCTTCAAAAGAATGCACAGGTAATTACAGAAGATTGACATCTTGAAACAAGATAAGAATGCTTCTCAAAACATCATTTTTCCATATTTAAAGATATATCGCATTACTTTTACTGCTGCTTTTGTGGTTGTTGTTGTTGCTGTAGTTGTTGATTTTGTTCTTTCAATTTTTCAATGTAAGAAGCAAATAATCGGGATAAAATCTCTCGTCGTCGTAATAGTTCTGCATTTTTATTCGATAATTCATTCGAATCTTTAATTCCAGATTCGTGTGAGGATTTTTTTATCATTGATTTTATGGACACTGTTGTACCACCTTCAACTGATGGTGATGATGTTGTTGTAGAATCTGTTGTTCGTTTGTTCAACATGGAAATTAAATATTTTTCAAATTGATTTGGTTGACTATAAATAACGCCCAATATGTTGTTTCCTTCAAGTATTGGAGGCGTTGCAGATGAAGATGCAACTAATGATCGTTTTGTATGCGTTAATGAATCACTTAGTTCATAATCCGTTTTTGAAATTTCCGATGAATGAACAATCTTGTCCAGCGGAAGGTTTTCATTGAATAAACGTATTTTGAATTCAAGGCATTCGAATGGATACATTTTGTTGTAATCAGCACTTCGTTTACCGAAACGCGGTGTCTTTCGAACCGGATTTAATTTCGGACAAACAATTGTAGCTTCGACTGATGCCGAATTCTGATTGATTGTCCAGAATCGTAAATCGAAAAAAACAAAAACAGCAAACCATAGTAGAAAATAATGAGATGTGAATAATAATGAAGAATTCGAATACCGATATTTCGAATTCATCATTGATGATAGCGATTTTTTTGACGGCGATAAAATTGAATGATTTTTATTTGTATTATTGTCGTCGTTGATGTTGTTATTGATATCGACAGAATATTGATTCATCTCTGTTGGCATATTTTCTGGAATTTGATCTCAGTTATTGAATGAAAATTCTAAATGTATTTATTTTTTGTTTTATATTTTTGTTTCAAACAAAAACATTAGTTGTGAAAAGTTTTTGATGATTATTTTATAATAATGATAATGATGATGGTCAAGCACTTTGACAAATTAATCCAACAACAAAAAAATATACACGTTAAAATGTTTATAATAGAAACAGGAATGGCGAAACGTTCGTAAAAAACAATAGAATATAAGATCCCTAGGATTTACTGGAACCACGAATTTCGGATTGAATTGATTCTGGTCGAGTTTAAATACTCGAAACTTATGGTTGGTTGATCTTGATACCATCTTCGACGTCGTCGTAGTTCTCTTTGTGGTCAAAGAAAAAAGACATTTACTCTAAAATAATAAGCAAGTAACCATTTTATTTACACATTTTTTTTATAATGAAACTTTACAATGGGCCGACCCGTTTATTAAAAAAACAAAACAAGCAACAATGATCTAACGCTAAGTAAACAATGAATCGAGTTTATTAGAGGGAAAAAAAGACAAACTATGTAATAAGAAAACAAAAAACATTTGACCCGAAAATAAACATTCAATTTTCAATTGAATTGAAAAAATAGACGCATTTAATTTGACGTCGTCGATTGTCGTCCATTTGATCATCCACTTGAATTTCCGAAAATTTTCGATCACAAACTTTGAGTCACTAACTAGAAAATATCCTTGACTTTTAAGAAAAATATCTTTAACCTGTCCACGAGGGTGAAAATTCTGAATTATTTTACGCAACGCCCATTTATAATGATTATTTAAATTAAACCAATATTATTGTCGTTAATCATTAAGAATTTTTCTTTTGAAAACGAATTTGATCGGGCGTGTGAATTCGCCAAAACATCGAATTAATATTTACTTAATTGAAGATAGCGTTTTTTTTATGTTTATCTGAATCAAGGATGGGCGTTTTCATAACTTAATGACTTATTTCTCAGTAGACAGAGATTTACCTTTGTATCGAGTAGAAAATCTAAACAGGATGATCTAACTTTATTATTGTTTTTTTGTTTTGTTTATTTTAACCGAATACAAAAATTTTATCTTAATTCATTTTAGATGATAATAAAATGGAATTCATTCTCGACCGATTTTATTTTTATATAGATGTAGTGTAAAAAATGTAATTAAATGAGATAAAATGAGCAAAAGAAAAAAGTTTCATTCGAAAAGTATACAATAAATAAATGAATAAATAAAGATATTAAACGATTCCAAAAAAAAAAAATTAAATTTTTATCTGTCTAGTAAATACGGATTTCATTGATAAAATCAAACAAGAATTCAGAATTTCAAACTTCGGCTTCAGTAATATACGTGTAGGATGCAAAAACTCCCATCATACAAACATAATGCTTAACGCGTATAACCACAAAGAATAATTAAGAAGAAAATCGTGTAGATTGTGATTTGTGGTTACTTTGTGATTTATTATAAATGAACATATGATAAAACATTGACTTTGATCAGATTTAAGTTTGAATGGATAAATTTTTTAAGTTTTTTTTTGTATATTCGTGACAATCATACATATTGATGTGAAAAACGAATTCACGAACGTTTTCAGTAAATATTTATTCTGATATATTAAGATAACGATTACTTGTTGTCATTCTATAGTGGAAAATAATTTTTCAAAATTATTATTTTCATATGAATGAAATTCAGAATCATTAATGCAGCTAGCAGAAATTTAATTTTACATTGTCCATTTCAAATTTTATGTATTGTTCATTGACAACATGAATTTTAAATTACAAAATGAATTCCACATAAATGAATGATCTATTTTCACATATGTTAAAGACCTTTAAAATTGTTGAAAGTTTTTTTTTTCATTACAATTCTGGGGTACACTTATGCTCATCAAGTTGAGCCTAAACCGAATTAAAAAAAACGAAAAAGAAAAAATAGGGAAAAATCGAACATTGAACAAAAACACAAATTATAGATGTATAAACGAGAAAAAAATTGATGAAACACCAAGGAAAAATTTATGAAACCAGATATAACCCGATATAAATGGTTTTAATATTTATAAAGCCCTGAAGTCTGGAACATTCGTTATTATTCTTATTATTATACATAAGGATCCTTATTACATTTAATTCAATTTATAATTTACAACTGGAAAGCTGTTCGAAAGTTTTGGCGAATTCAATAGAAATCAAAGAAAAATGAAAAATGAAAAATAAAATAAATAAACGAACAATTTTTTGCCAAATTTTATGAAATTCTTTATTTTATTTTATTTTTCGCCAATTGTTTGTTTTTGGGTTGGGCGGTTCCACCCATTTCTTTTCATCATCATAATCTCAATGATCAAATGCGACAATGATGGTTTGATGAAACCTATGACAATATGATTATTTCAAAATATTAACATTGATGACCATCGACTTCACTATTGTCTTGAAAATAGTGAATATTTGTTCATGGACCGAAAGACGATCAAATGGACCAAATTTCAACAACTACGTCATAGACATGAGACAATTTCAAGATCAAGTTTGTTTTTTACCCAAAAACCAGAAAATAAATATTTCAATTGTAAATGCTAATGAATGAACCAAAATATTTATTTTTAAATGTACATGGACGAAGAAAAAAACTATGAGTAAGATTTGTTGCAAACAATGAATAAATTTTCATTTTACAGTTCACTGGCTTTTCTTTGATGCGAATCTTTTTTATTATTCTCTATGTTTTTCAAGATAATCGTTTTAAATAAATATTATTAATCAGATAAACAGTGTTTAAAAAATATAAAATAAAAAACAATCCAATATTGATGATTATCCATTAGGAAAATAGATTTAAGAAGATAACCAACACCTTTAAAATTCGTGATGATAGTCATTTAAAATTAAACACCACAGACCATGTTGGCCGGCACGGCAATATCTAGATAGCGTGAATGACAAAATTGAAATAGATATTTTACTAACTAATAAAAAAAAGTAAAAAAAAGTTACCAATTAATTTCGGAAGTTCAAGTTTAAGATTTTCCATTAGATCAATGAATTCATTTCGTGTTCGACTGAGACGAGGATTATAAAGTTTTTCTTCGCCGATTGTAGAACATGTATTACCATTATAATCATGGCCTGGATAAACAATACATTCATCCGGTAATGTATAAAGCTGATTGTGTATTGAATCATAGAGTTTTCCTGAATCGCCTACAATTCACAAAATCAATGTTTAAGTAAGTCGTAAATAAAGTAAATAAAATAGAAATTTTTGTTTATTTCATCGTCTTCTGAATTGTTTATTGTTTTTAGTTACGAAACTGAAAATACCTTGTTGAAAATCGGTACGACCACAGCCACGAATTAATAGAGAATCGCCAGTAAAAACAAACGGACCGTTGTCTAGAAAATACGAGACACATCCATTTGTATGTCCTTGATATATCGAAAAAAGTTGTTATCAAAAATTTTAAAAGTTAATTAACGCGTTCGGTACCAGCGACGCATATATGCGTCGTTTATTTGCTGTAGTTCTATGTGTTTTTCCAAATCTCCGGTAGCGAACGTGTTAAAAAACGAATTTTTTGTTTGTTTGAACTTTTTAAAATAGAAATTTTTCAATTACCTGGTGTACTTTTGACCAACAAGTCAATATTTTCTCCAATTTTGATTGAATCATCATTTTCAACATGAATATCAGCTCGGGCATTGCTTTCTTTAGATATGATTGATTTTACTTCGGTCAAAATCTTCTTAATTTGTCCACTGCCTGTTATATGATCGGCATGAACGTGTGTATTGATTACATATTTGAGCTAAAAAAAAATGAAAATCAATTAAAATAAATAAACAAAATTTGACAATAAATCAAGAAAAACGATTTCTTTCAATTCAAGATCAATGGTCTTACATTCAAATCTAACTGTTTGATCAAAGTAAGATCTCTATCAACCAATTCTTTAACAGGATCAATCAGCAATGCATCTTTGGTTTTTGAACAAGCCAACAGATACGTATAGGTGCATGATGCACGATCAAAAAGCTATGACAATTCGGATAAATAAATTCAATGAAATTAAGCAAAAAATAAAAATATAAAGTAATACCTGCCGTAAAATTATTTCAGAATTACGTATCATAGCCATGATTGTTGATGATACTTAAATGACGATCTCCGGCTTATGTATGCTTTATCAGACTGAAATTTCACTCATCAACTAACAATCTTACAATAGATACATGTATCCTATAGCAATATGAGTTTGGAAATTTACAAACAAATCGATTGTTAGAAATAATATGGTTACGTCAACGCAAATCCTGACCTCGATAAAATCATCAAATCATGTCACAATGAGCATGTTTTTTTCGAATAGATTTGTTTAAAATTTTATTCGAAACTAAATAAAAAAAAACTTCAATCAAAAAGCTGTTTATCAATTCTTTCGAGTCGAAATTCAACATAATTTCTATTTATAATGAGAATATTTCCAAGGAATCGGCAATTATTCTGTTTGTATATTAAATGGGAAATTTTTCCAGGAAAAACATCTGCATTCGCTTTTGTTTTATAAATTTTCATCGCGAATGGCTTCAATTCAAGCAAGGACAAGAAAATAATAATGATAATAAAAAAAATTTGATTGTCGAAATTGATCATGATCAAATCGTATGTTTTTCATCGACTAATCATCTGCATAAATGATTAAATAGGATGATTTAGCAATCTACATTTATGCTACCGAAGTTGGTCGTATTGATTTGAATTGGGTTCACTATTCGTCATCGTCATCTGAGTTAGTTATCCTTGATTGATGAAATACTTATTCTAAGTTTAATTAATTGATTTAAAGGCCTTTTCTAAAATGCTCACACTTTGTTGTGATGTCGGTTCTGGAAGTGTCCGTGTAGCCATTTTTGAATTCAATAATTATCATTTGAACTCAAAACCGTTGGCTGTTTCTACACACCCGTTGATTATATACAATCGAAAGAAGAATTTTTATGAACAAAAATCAAGCGAAATATGGCAAGCATTTTGCATGGCAGCAAGAGATTGTTGCAAGCAAATAAAATTAAATCAAATTCCATTAGTGATTGATTCGATCGGCTTTACTGCAACATGCTCGCTTGTCATTATCACTGATGATCATGATAATCGTGGAGAATCATCAAATGACTATGATGTAATCATGTGGATGGATCATCGTGCTCTTAAAGAAGCTGAGCTTATCAATCAAACTGGTCATCAAATTCTTGAACAATTCGGTGGAACTTGTTCACCCGAATTTTCATTATCGAAACTTATTTGGATTTATAATAATGAATCGGAACGTTTTCGACGCACAAAAGCTTTAATGGAATTACCCGATTGGCTTAGTTATCGTTGCTCGAATCAATGGTCAAAAAATCTACCAGAACTATTTCCTCGTTCACTATGTTCGGTAGTCTGTAAATGGGGTTTTGATGCTGAAAATAATAAATGGCGTTCAGATTTTTTCGAAAAATTAGGTTTGAATTATAACAGATTCCAGTTGATTAATTCTTTATTATTTGATTTTCATGTTTGCTTATATTAAATTATTCAGGCATAAAGTTTGATGAATCGATACGGATGAAAATCGGCAACAAAATAATTCAACCTGGAATGATAATTGGTTATTTAAGTGCTGAAATTGCACAACAAATCGGAATATCAATGAACGATGGTGATCAGCCTATAAAAATTACTTGTCCATTAATTGACGCTCATGCTGGTGCACTTTCAATGCTAACGTTTTCAAATTCTTCCATTTCAAAATCAAATTTGGGTGAAACAACATTTGAAAATGTACTCTGTATGATTGCCGGCACCTCAACTTGCCATATGATTTTGAATCAAAATCGAACCATGACCAAAGGTATATGGGGACCTTATCGTAACGCAATCATTCCGGGATATTATCTACGTGAAGCTGGACAAAGTGCTTCAGGAGTTTTAGTCGAACATATCATTCGACAGCATAAATCTTCAGATGAAAAAGATTTCAAAGAAATTATTAAAAAGTTGAACAATGATTTACGGGCCAAGAATTTTATTTATCAAACTTCATTGGTCATGAATCCATCATACCATGGTAATCGTTCACCAATAGCCGATTCACGTCTAAAAGGTGCCATCTATGGTATGACATTGGAAGACGAATCATTGCTTGAAATTTATTGCGCCACTATTGAAGCAATTGCTTATGAAACAAAATTCATCGTCGAAGAAATCGAACGAAATGAACGATTGATTAGTCAGGTGATTGTAAGCGGTGGTCTGACTAAAAATGAATTTTATCTTCAAAAACATGCTGATATTTTGGAACGAAAAATTTTTGTTTACGATTTAGATGGCGCGGATCATATGCTAACTGGGACGGCAATTATGGCTTTCGTAGCAGCTATAAATCACTCGAATTCATTGGAGGAATTAATCTCTTTGCTGAATCAAGTTCGAACCGATATCGTCGATAAAAAGAAAATTCGAATCTTCGAACCACGATCAGAAATACTTGATTATCATCGAAAGAGATACAAATGTTATCGTAGACTATTGGAATGTTCAATTGAAATAGAAACAATTATGTCATCTTAATGAGAATTTGTTCATTTTTTCTTCAAATGCATAAATTTTTCCAGTTTATGATTGATTCTTCGTACCAATTTTGATGATGAACTTTTCGATTGCTGTTCGAAATCATTTAATTCGTCATTGCATTTGTCTTTGAAAATTTTTGTCCTGAAATTATCAATGATGCGTTTTCGCATCATTCGATAATGTTTGTTGTTCAAAATTTCAACAGCATTTGTTTTTTTGATAATATTTTCTTCATTTTCCTTCTCGTCTTCATTTCTATTTTTGTCATTATTCTCATGGCAATCTTCTGCCATTGCATGATCAATTTGTTCATCATCATCATCATCATCACTGTGATCCTGCTGTGCTGTCACATTAATGTTTTTCATATTATAAATGCAATGATTTTCTGTCATCGAATTTTCTTCTTTTGAGACTTTTGAATCCTGTTGTTTTTGTTGTTCTTCTTCATTATCGTTTTCGTTTTGCTAAAAATGTATTTTTTTAGATAAAAGAAAAAAAATAGAAATAACAAACCTTTATCTGTTGATCGTTGATTTGTTTATCCGTCTCAAGAGAACTTTTCGCTTGATCGCCATCTTTTTCACAATCAGCCAATTTACATGAACATTTTTCCGTTCTAATTAGATTATCACGAAATGTTTTAACATCTTCCACTAATGAATGCATAATTCGGCTGACTGTTTTTTTTGTTATAAGTTTTCGAGGAATTTAAAAATTATAATTAGAACAACAGTTTGTCAACAAAACAAAAATGATCCTTTTTTACCGTTTCTACGTCCATAATAATCGAATGTTCGATATGAACTACGCGACATGAATGGATCATAACGTTTGTATGTATATTCATGTCTTAATAAATCATATTGACATTCACGACATTCTTTAGGATCATGTAATGATGACCATAATGATTTTTTTTGATGAGATCCTTTGGTTGTTGTCGTTGATTGATCATAATCATCAGATTTTAGTGATAACTATGTAAAGGAAAAAAAATCTGTCAATCTTTAGTAATCAAAAACATGAAATTTATACCTTAAATAAAGCGTACATAAAGATAACGATCAAAATCAAGGCATATAATGGAACAAATACATTCCATACACTGTTTTGGCTACCACCTACGCCAGTCAAAATTTCACGTTTACCGGTGTAAAATTGGGGCTGTAATATAATAATGTACGGTTATAGTTGAACAAAAGAACATATCAACACTTTTTCATACCCTTCCGGGAAGTTTTTGTGGTTGCGTATTTTTATTTGGAGATTGTCTCATCGCTTCCAATACTTTTGGTGGTAGCATATAGTTGTTTGCTGCAGCTATGATTTTTTTCAACAAAAAACGATATCATTTTTTAAAATTTAAATTTTGAAATTCTTTTGAAAAAAGAATTCATTTTTGTTTTACCATTTTCGGACGATTGTCGAGAATCCCATCTTAAACCATATAAAAGCATTGGATAGAAAATTTTTGGCCATAAAACAGCAAAACAACCGATGACAACGATAACAATGCATAAACTTTTAAAATTACTTATTCCATTCGATGAGATTGGTGTTTCAATTGTTTCCGATGCTGATGACGACATATTTCCAATAGATTATTATTATTAATGATGTTTATAATGGATAAAATTGTTCGAATGAATAACCGAAAAAAACTATATATAAGATATATGGATATCATCCAATTGTTTACATCTTAATTGGATTTGCTACAAAAAAAAATTCGCAGATCAGATTTTCGAATGAATCTGATTTCGGTTTAGGTTTTCATCGATGTGCTCGATTAATCGTAAAAATAAACAATAAGAATTTCGACACAGATATTCAATTTATAACAAGAAATACACATTCCAAACAAAACGAATGGAATGATCGAGCTTGCGCTTGGCCTCATCATATTTTATTTTCGATGGAGAACATCATCATGTCCCGAAATGGAATACCCGGTATGAGAAATTCACTATTTTCTATATATATCTGTCTAGTTAGGGCGGGGAACACACACATACCCAAGAACATCCAAAAAGGTTCCAACATTACAAAAAAAAAAAATATTATAATATTTGAATTTTGTTTGTTTTTATTTATAATTCCATCGATATAAGCAAAAATCAAATCAAGCAAACACACGTACATACAAACACACAAATTAAAAGTTCGCCGAGAATATTAAAAAAAAATATCGGCTTTTTCTTTTCGAAGAAAAAATACCGAAAATAAAAAAAAGGACAAGTATAATCAAATTAAAGATTTAGTTTTGGAATATTAAGAAGAGAAAAAGAAAAGCTTATCAATATGGAATATCAATGTAGGATAAATTGAGATTTTTTTAAAAAAAGCAAACATAAAAGAAAGTTCAATTTGTGGACCAAAATGTCAAGGATAATCGATGAGAAAAAACTGGGTAACCAGTGATGTAAAATGTGTGTAAATATGGTAAGCCATTATTACATCAAACCCACATACAAAAAAAAAGACTTTGTCTATTTGTTGTTTCGTTATTCGGAAGTTGGTTTTGGTTGATCATCACTTGGTTTTTCTGGATCTAACATCGATTTGAATTCTGATTCAATAGAATTCGGTGAAGTTGTTGGTGAATAACGTTTAATTGGTTGTCCTTCTTTGTTGATCAAAAATTTTGTGAAATTCCATTTGATCGCTTGTGTACCGAAAATTCCACGTTGTTTAAGTTTTAACCAACGATACAATGGATGAGCATTAGACCCATTTACATCGATTTTTGAATACATATCAAATTTTACGTTATTCTTCTTGGCAAACTCTTTAATATCGGCATCGCATCCAGGTTCTTGTCCGGCAAATTGATTACAAGGAAATGCAGCCACACGAAAACCACGACTTTCATATTTGTCAAACAATTCATTCAATTGTTGATAATTCGATTTAGTAAAACCACAATTCGAAGCTACATTAACAACCAGAACAACTTTTCCTTCATATTTAGAAAGAGAAACCTTTTAGAAGATAAAAATTTCGAAATCATTAATCAATACAAAAAAAAAATCCTGTATGAATGGTGTGATGAAAAATATTCTTACCTCATTACCATCAATATCTTTGACTGTGAAATCATACAAAGATTTATAATCTTCTGGCTTGAATGAATCACCATTTGTTATTTCTTGGCTACCGTTTGTTGTGTCTTGTTGTTGTTCACATTCTTTTTTTTCCAATTTTTCATCACCAGCCGTATTCGGTGTCACAGTATTATTTTCCACTTCAGACATGATGAAAATGATTAATGCTAACGATACGATCCAAACAATTTGATTAACAAAACGAAATTGATTGATATATCGTTGTCGTTGTTGGCGAATTGAATCCAGTTGGGACGAATTTCTTTTTAGTCACACACAAAAAAAATGAAAAATTATTTTTATTGAAATCGAAATTATCAAAAATCAAGTTCGAATATATCTATATTTATAAAGGAAAAAATGTGAACGATTTCTATTTTTCCGATTTAAACGTCAAAAAAAAAGTTAAACGTTAATAAATTTTTTTTCTATTTGCTATGGCTATAGTCGACAAATAATCAGTAGAAAAAAAAACGAAAAAACGGCTATGAACAAGCTTTACATAAACACCTCTAAACACATACAGAGTTTGAATTTTTCTTGTTTTTGTTTGTTGGCTGTTGCACCAATTTTATTATGATTGTTAGAAATTTGTAGGTGGTGTCATCATCATCATCATCATCTATAAAACGAATGTTGTCGAGGTGGTAGCAGCCATTTATGATGGCAGAGTGGTGATTGGATTTTTTTTTTGTTTTCGAAATGGAGGCGATCATATAATGAAAAAAGGGCAAACAATAAAAAGGGGGTAAAACAAAAATATTAGCTGTATCAAAAAAAGAACAACAACAACCAAATGTATAAATTCAATAACATCAGCTATTCCAGAAAAAAAACACATATACTACACAGAGAGAAATAATTTAGGCTTTTTTAACTTTTTTTGACTATTTTTGTCGAAATAGCGCGATCACATGACACAATNAGAAAAAAAACACATATACTACACAGAGAGAAATAATTTAGGCTTTTTTAACTTTTTTTGACTATTTTTGTGGAAATAGCTCGATCACATGACACAATTTTCAAAATTTCACTCAAAAGTCGTCTGTTGAAACCAATCGAATACAAAATTTGTTGAAATAGCGAAAAAAATCATTAAAAATTGAAAAATTTTCTAAGTCAAAACCAAAAATTGAAAAATTTTCTAAGTCAAAACCAAAA